CTCCCTACATCTGGTGGTGCCAGAGTGCCAGGAGGACCACAGGTCGGGGACGATGAGGACAAAGAGGGTGAGAACTGGTTTGCAGGTGGCGAGCGGAGGTGTGTGAAGCTTGATCCCTGCATGATAGTACTTGAGCTTACCAGCTGGGTAGTGGCATTTCAGTGCAGAACCCTAACTCTGCCAGTGCTCGTCCTGGTGGACGCCTCGTGAGAGACATCTTGAGGCAAGCCGCAGAGTACGTCGTTCAGCGGCTGCATCAATTTTTTAATCCTGACAAACACTCCCTTGTTCTGAAGGGGCGGGATGGCACCTGCACCTGATGCCCGCAGAGCAGCTGGACCTTTCAGTGGCGGCGGGCATATACTTGGAAGTGACGAAGTGGAGAGCTCATACGTGCCGGATCCGACCGCAAAAGATGGTGAGTTTTATTACCGCTTGCTGTTCTAGTGGTGATTACTATGGCTGATCTGGTACTCTATATGAAGACGAAGGTGACATCGTTGTCCGGCACTTGCATCTTTGGAGAGACGGGTTTAGCCTTGAGGATGGACCACTGATGCGATATGACGAACCCGGTAATCAAGAGCTTTTGAGGTCTATCCAGCAAGGGTATGTTACATTCTGTCATCATGATATACCCGTCCTCATTCTTTACAGTACTGCGCCCATATCCTTCATGGACGTCACACCTGGGCAACGTGTCAACCTTAATGTGGCAACCAGACTTAGCGAGGAATATGTACCCCCCAAGAGGGGCAACTTTTCAGGATCTGGACAAAGGCTTGGTGCACCAACTCCTGCTATTACCTCTGGTGCAGCACCTTTCATGCCAGGATCATTTCCGTCTGGCAACAGCAGTGCTGCTGATTCCAGTGCTAGTGTCGAGAGGCACAGTATCAGCACCCGCTTTGAGGTCGATCAGACGCAGCCTACCACGAGCGTGCAGATCCGCCTGGCAGATGGTACGCGTATGCCATGCAGGATGAATCTCACGCATACCGTTGGTGATCTTCGCTCGTTCATCAATGCGTACGTTGCGTTTAGCCCTTGAAAATTCGCCAGAGACACTAAATATTTATTGGTAGTTCTCGTCCCGAGAATCTGTCACGCCCGTATGCGATTGGAACGACATTCCCTAATCGTACCTTGGAAGATGATACTCAAACAATCGAGGGTGCTGGGCTAGCTAACAGTGTCATTGTTCAACGGTGGGTTTAAAGTGAAAAGTAGCTTGTTGGCGATGAGATAGATGTATTCAATAGCCTTGTAAAATTACGATGTCCACAGAAAAGTGCTTAGATTTCAATACGTCGCAGCAGGAAGTCTAAAACAGATTATATTTCTCACGGGGCCACTGAACTTAGTTTTTTTCCTTGTCATTAACGGTACCGATATCGAGTAAGCCCATTACCCCGACTCACAGCGAACTCAAAGAGCTGTATAAAACACTCGAGCGGGAAAAGTCACACTCGAAACACACTTGAACAGTCCGTACGACGTCCTGCTCGACAAGCACAACCAACAACCCACAGTCCAATCATGGCACCGTTCACAAAACCTGAGGCCGTGCTCAAACAAGCAGAGGGCCTCGTCTCTGTCGGTCAGTCTCATGCAGCTCTTCAGTCGCTCGTAGAGATGTTCTCTTCAAAACGCTTCCGCTCGACACCTCTCACTACACTCGAGCCAATCGTGATCCGCTTCGTGGAGCTTTGCGTCGACATGCGTAAAGGCCGCACTGCCAAAGAAGGCCTGATGCAATACAAGAATATCGCTCAAAATTCGAGCGTCGGAAGCATTGAGGTTGTCATCAACCGGTTTATTCAGCTCTCAGATGCAAAAGTCTCCGAGGCGCAGGAGAAAGCGGACAAAGTCACCGGACCTGTCGATGTCGACGATCTTGAGGCAAGCGAAACGCCCGAGAGCATTCTCCTCGGCGCGGTTAGTGGTGATCAGAGCAAGGACCGCACGGATCGTGCACTCGTCACGCCCTGGCTCAAGTTCCTGTGGGAGAGCTATCGCACATCACTCGAGACTCTCAAGAATAATGCTCGGCTAGAAGTCATCTATCAGGTGAGCTCATTTTCCTCCTCACTACGCGCATGCGCCTTTGGCAAGCAGTTCCATTCCTTCTCCAATTTTCGGTCATTCTTCATATGCTTCCTGAAGGGAAGGCTACTAGTTTAGGCAGGTAACACCGCCTCATGGTCTTCATGATGATCAGCTCAGGCGTGATGCGGGACGACCCTGATTCCATATTTTCTGACATGAATTCTTTAGCAAGTTGCGCAGCAAGCTTTCCGTTTCTGCCTAAAACACCAACGGAAGGTCGAGTTCCGGAGACTTTGTGAAACTCTCCGACTGCACCTTTCCAATGTCGCAAAATATGCGCATCAAACACATGCCATCAACCTATCGGATGCGGAGACACTGCAACATCATCTCGACACTCGGTTTGCTCAGCTTAATACCTCCGTCGAACTCGAGCTTTGGCAGGAGGCATTCCGCAGTGTCGAGGATGTGCACAATCTGCTCACAATGGCAAAAAAGGCTCCCCGTCCGGCGATGATGGCGAACTATTATGAAAAGTTGACTAAGATTTTCTTGATGAGCGGAAATGCTCTATATCATGCCGCTGCATGGGGTCGGTACCACGCAATTGTTACCAGCATTGGGGGAAAGAGCGAAGAGGAGATGACGAAACTCGCCGGCCAAGTACTCGTCAGTGCCTTGGCTGTCCCTGTTGGCCTACAAAATGAAGATGAGGATGGCAAAAGCAAGACATCGCGCCTTACTGCTCTTCTTGGTCTCACCAGAGCACCCACTCGCGCCGGGCTGATCAAAGATGCCGTATGTATATTCGCCATCTTTGAGCTGAACGTATGTTTACCTATTCACAGCTTTCCCGTGACGTCCTCCGTCTTTCCCCAGCACCCATCAAGTCTCTGTACACGCTCCTTGAAGCTTCATTCGACCCCTTGACGCTTTGCTCCTCCACCGCCCCGCTTCTCGCAGAACTGTGTGCACCGGACACACCATACTTTGGCTACCGTTCCCTCCTGGAACGCGCACTGCTCTCCCGCCTGCTCGCACAACTTTCTCAAGTTTATTCCACGCTTACTATCACCTCGCTCCTCGAACTGGTCTCTCCCCTCGAGGGCCTCGGCCCAGAGCAGGTAGAGGCGTTCCTCATGGGTTGTGCACGTCGCGGTGAACGCAGTGTGTATGTCGACCACGCCACTGGCACAATCACGTTCATCGACGAGGGTTTCGTAGTCAGTTCCGAGGACCCCATCCCGTCCACGAGCACCAACTCAGAAGCAAGCATCCAGCCCAGCGCTGCAGAGCTCGTGCGCACACGGCTGAGCACGCTTGCAGTGACATTGCACAATTCCCTTGCGGTTCTGTACCCCCCGCCCCAGCTCTCTCCCGAGGAAGAAGAAGCTGCACAGCATGCCAAATTTGTGGAGCTTGTCGCGGCTGCGAACGCTGAGCGGCATGCGCTATCGCTCCGTCGTGCACTCGTTGCCCGCCGCCGCGAGCTCCTCTCTGAGCTCTCCGCTCGTAAGGAGAAGGAGGAGGCCAGCCGTCGTGCGGAAACGACGCGACGCGAGAAGGACGAGGAGGTGCGACGCGCCAAGCTCGAGATAGCCAAGAAGGAACGGGAACGCGCACAGAAGGAGGTGGATTCTATTCGTGCGGAGGAAGCCAAGAAGCTCGCACAAACACTGATCAAGAAGGGCAACTTGAAAGTGTCGGTGGACGTGCGTATCCCTTTTTCAAACTGCCTACTACAGGGTTGCTGATATGACTGTCCACAGGAAATGGAAGATCTATCGACAGATTCACTCATGCGCATGCAAGTCGAGCAACTCGAACGCGAGAAGAAAGAGCTCAATCAGCGTTTGCGCACTGCTGCCAAGCGAATCGATCACATCGAGCGTGCGTACCGCAAGGAAGAGCGGCCGCTGCTTGCAGAGGACTATGCGGAACAGCAAGCCACCGACCGCACAATCTTTGAAACACTTCAGCGCTCACGCATTGAGGGTGCTCGCCAGGCGTTCCAGGAGGACATGATATCCAAGAAACGCTTGAGCCGCATGATGCAGGATTATCAACAGAGAAAGGAGTTCATCATCGCACAGCGAAGTGAAGAGCACACAGCCAAACTCGCGGAGTCACACAAGAGAATCGAGGAGGAGAAGGAGAAGATGCGGGCTGCACATCAGAAGATGAAAGACAAGGAAGAACAAGAGCGTCTTGAGGCTGAGAGAATTCGCAGAGAGCAGGAGGAAGAAGAAGCTCGATTAGAAGCTGGTGAGTATACTTGATCTCATATAGTCGTTTTTTCATGTTTCTTCAGAGCGCCGCGCAGCTGAGGAAGAGGCCGAGGCCAAGGAACGGGAAGAGAAAGAGAAAGCCGCCGAAGCACGTAGGAAACGGGAAGAAGAGCGTGCCAAAACTCAAGAGGAGGCAAGGAAACGTGCCGAACGCGAGGCTGAGGCTGAAGCACATGCCGCTCAACGCCGCGCGGAACAGCGCAATCAACTAGCAGCGCAACCAGCGCAACCAGCGCAACCAGCGCAGCCCCAAGGAACTTGGCGACGTGGAGGAGCGCCCTCTGCGCCCACCCGTGCTACCGCCGCTATATCCACACCACCACGGGTTGAAAGCCCTCTGCCTGCTCCTGCTCCTGCTCCTGCTCCTGCTGCTACCACAGGTGCATACCGGCCTGGTGCATTTGGTGCTACCGCCGGAGGCTGGAGAGATCGCCAAGCGAAACCTCCAGCTGCTGCACCTGTTCGGACTGCATCTCCTGCCCCTCTCACATCTCGTAATGCCCCACCGCCTGAACACAAGAGGAGTGATGATGGATTTGAGACTGTTCAGGAGAAGAAGGTGTGGAAATCTCGGAGAGCCCAGGGCCAGGCATAGATACTGTATGCTTGCTCGTCACACCTATGTTGTTACCATTATATGCATCTATTTCTATCCAATACCATACAAGCGAGTGTGTTGATTGTTGGAGGTACACATGCAATATAGTTAGTGTCCGTAAAACGTCCATGATTAGTTGAAATAATAAGATCGAGTTAAGCGTCCTCTTCTGCAGCTTGCTGCATAATCTCTGAGGGCGGGAAGTTAGGCAATCGACAAGGCTCAGATCAGAGACAAATAACATACCACCCCATATAGAACGCTGCATAGATGACACGATGCCTTCTTGATCACCGATGTCTAATGAACTATCTCTCCTGCGTCAAACCTATCAATAAACTATTTAATATGAGCGACTATCAGCACGAACCAGTAACCATGACCCATGTCGGCAGAAAGCATGCTGACATCGCTTGTTCTGCGGGAACGCTGAAGACTACTTCGGAAGGAATGATCCCAGGCATTAAGCTCTGGGGAAGGGCCAAGTGTTCGGGGAGAGGGAGTTGGGCTAGAAGGGCTTTTGTCTGAACGGCCGTGGTCACTACGAGGTGAAGTGATATCGCGAGTTAATGGGGGTGGAGTGGATGGTGCAGGGTCGACTTGAATAGCGGGGATGTCTATGATACACATTGGATCATCATCTACGATGTTGATGACGCCGAAAAGAAGCTTACCTCTTTGCGCACTGAGTGTCATTTCTCGCTTGGCCAAATATCTTCGTCGCAGTGATATCATTTTCAGCAAAGAACGAACACGGTCGAGGTTCACCAAATCTGACACAAGTTTGTTCGTCCCTTGCCTCACGATTAGATCCTTCAGCCTGCCTTGTGGTCAGAACTGTAACAGCATCAACGCAAATTAGTAACTCACTCTAGTGCGTCGCGGTCCACAATCAGCTTATGGTGGGCCAAAAGAAAAAGCATGTCGGTGAACGAGATGCCTTTGCGATGGCTGTCAATAATGCTGGCTTCGTGAAATAGCCGGCAATATACTGCTCTTCGCTGTTTTATAATGTCGAAGTCGACCTTCCTCAGCACCTTGTTTACTTTCCGTGGATTCAATGTCGTCTCCACTTTCGTCCCTTCTTTCGTCGCAATCTTCCGGATGTCTTTGCACGTCGAGACAATGGATGGAACGGAGTACTCAGTTGGGTATATGCGAACCTCGAAAATCCCATTTAATTTCTGAAAAAGAACTTGATAAGTCTCGTGAACATTACGTCGCACGGAACTTACACCTAGGAACGGAACCAATCGCCTTTGTTCGAGCAGTCCAGTCTTTGGGTTGGAATACTCCGCCCACGTTTTCTTGAACGAACGAATTTCTTCACGAGTGATGACCTTTGCTCCGCCAGTCGACTGGAAAACGTAGGAGAAATTCTGCACGACGACTCCAGTAAACATGTTCACGAATATATACTATTCGAGATAGCATCAGGAAGCACGCGCGAAATTACTAAGGTTCACATACCATGCTCAGGAGGTTCCAAGCGATGAAGAGGGAGAACGCCCAAGGGGTACTTCCACAATCCGTTTCCACTAGCCCACTAGTGTTGATGGTGCACCGCGGATATGCCAGAGCACTAAACCAGCGTCAACTTCAGAACAAAAAGGACCGTTTGATCACGTACAAGTCATGCATGTATTGGTTCCAGCCCTCGCTATGAGTAGATATTTTAAAAAACATCATGAGAAAAGCGTTGGAAATACCTACCCCGTACTCATGAATGCGAGCATCACGAGCGCCGAACCCATGGTTTGGTAATTCTGAGTGTGAGTTTCTGCAGAATACCATTTTGTCAAGCCGAAGACCTCCATGTACATGATCGCGAAGAAGATAAAAAGTATGAACCACAGGCCCAGGAGGTTCAAGATGACGGGCAAGCTCGCCCTGCAACAAAGTCAATAGTTAATCAAAACCTGACCGCCCCACTTACATAACAGTCTTGAAGAGCTGATTAAGGCTGTTGGTCCTCTGCACGAGCTTGAACGCGATACTGACGAGGAACAGTTTCTGCAGCTGCTCAACGGCAAAACCCATGTACCCAAATCGAACGACCAACGTCGTGATGAAACTACCGCCGGCCACTACAACATCAAACAAATTCCACCCGTTGGCTCGGAAACTCCTCCACCCAACACCGTAGAACCTAACTGCGATATCGACGACATACATCGTTGTGATGATCAGCGAGAAGTCGTCTGAAAGGAGTCACATTGAGGAACCGAAAGGAAGTACAAACAAACCGATTACTAACCTTGAAATTTTGCAACAGCTACTTGAACTGTAAATGTTTGCGTCCTGAAACAAATGAGTTCATAGCTAACCAGGAAAGAAAGAGGCACAAACATGAGAACGATAATTTGTACGACAAAGAAGCACGTCATCATTCGCGTCCACCAGCCGTGCTTGTGGATCGCACGGTCGTAGCACCATCCTTGTAATAGTTGAGTAGGCCGAGTCTGAGGACGCTTCGACGGTTTCTGGCGTTTGATCAGTTTCTGTAGGTCAATCCATTCTCGTTGAGGTTGGGTCAAGAATGCAGAACCCGTCTTGGATGAGAAGTTTCCGATGATAATACTAAGCAAGCCGTAAGCCAACAGGCCAGCGATCTACAAAAGACAAATCTCACCTGACAAAAAGAGTCAGAATTACAACGCCTCCGAGCAAATTGTAGATGACGAAGAAAATAGCGTTGATCTGCGAAGCGTCGACCTGCGGTTGTTGGTTCTTCCCAGTAATATTCATCGAGACCAACATCACATCGATCCACCCCTCCAACGATACAATCTCAAAAAGAATGAGCATCGAAGATCGAAAGTTGTCGAAGGAGAACGTCGTGGAAGGTGAAGGATTGTCCCAGGCACGAGGGGCTAAATATCCGAAAGAGGTGCCGTATATTGTGTTGACAAACTCGTTGGTGCAATCGTCGAGGCCTTGGACACTGGTATCGTTGCACTCATTCATTAATCCTGCAAATATATTGACGCCCCAAACGCTAAAGGGAATCAGATACAGGATCGCCAAAATGGCGGCATCCAAGATACGAGTCACCCCGGAAATAATGAGTGATTCGAATGTGTTCCGCATTTTCTCGATCAAGGTCACAAGGCGGAGAGCTCGAAGAGCTTTGAGTGCGTGGATGAAACGAGTCAATCCACTGACAAAAATGAGCGTGAATGACAAGTTCACTAGGATACCGATGAGTATAATGAAGTCCAGGATATTCCATATGCTTTTGACGTAGGCGTTTGGGGTGAACAAGAAACCATCGGCGATGATCTTGATAATGAGTTCGACTAGCAAAGGAACACCGAGCGCTATCTCGGCAATGTTGAACCAAGTACCACGCACCATACCGTGCTCCATGTAGTAATTGCGCCGGTACAAAGGGGTGGCTACGCCCTCCGTGATGATACCACCAAGCACAGTCAACAAGATCATGAGCTGAAATAACGTATGGGCAACATCGGAGGGTGGGGCTCCGAATAGGCGCTCTCCGCCAGCAGGCTTGACAACCTTCTGGCACATATTCCGAAGACGATCTTCCTGCGAGAAAAGCCAAAAGGTCTTATCATATGTCGGGTGGTCAATGATAAAGTCCGCCTTCTGCGCCTTCCGCTCGGAATGCTCATCATGGTCGTTCTCGGTCGTGTCGGTGCCGTTGCCCGCCTTGGCGAGAATATCGCTACAAGTTCGTGTCAGCAAAGCTGCCACTTATATGTACCAGAAAGCTTACAGATAACGCTCCGTCTCTTCGTTTTGCACTGCTGTCGACTCACGACGGCTCTGTCGTAAGTCCGCCAACGGCACATCATTAGAATCCGTAGTCCCAGAAAACAGTTGTTGAAGCATCGTCAGCGATTTTGAAGGCAGATGCCTCGCACCCTTCAACGGAACGGGTTTCTTTCGCATCAGGATATCAGCAGCTTGTCATCTCAGACACTCAAAAAACACATACAACCCCGTTTCGGTTGTGCTGTCTAACAACCCCGTAATCTTGCACAAGCGTTTTCTGCATTGGTAAGACCAGGTTCGAAGGAAGGTTTTCGACCTTGACGCGAACGGGATCCGCCTTGATCCATCGATACGGATTCAACTTGCGAGTCCAACTATTGTGCGTGACCCTCTGTGGGTGGTGTTGAACCCAGTAGTCCGATGCCTGTTTACTCTTCTTCGTTTCTTCTGCCACACTGAAGTTCTCATGAATGACGGCGATGAACATCTGCATCACGATGACTGGAGAAAACAGTGCGCGTCAACGAAGGAGGGCAATATGCATGAGCACTTTGGGCGACTTACAATTTGCGAATATAAGCCACGAGCATAAGAAAATAATCACGATCACCGCCTGCCCCAGGGAAATCTCTGCAATTGCTGTCGAGTACAAGACATTCGTCCAATTCTCGGAGGAAAAGATCTGGTACATGGCGAGGAACGAATTCCACAACTGTCCGAAATTCAACCCAATCGAGTCGTTCATATCACCGCGAATGAGCTCCACGCAGACCAACGCGGCAAGGAGGTTGACGAGCAGTAAGAAAAGCGTCATATTCACTAGACCATAAAGATTCCCAAAGACCGTGAGCTGAGATGGTTTAGTTGTCTGTAAGATGTTCAGATGGTGACTAGACTCGCCATGAGCGGTTTCATTCTCGGGAACTCTAGAATCACCCTGTAGAACCTCCCTAGTTGAAATATCGTCAACCAGGGGTATAGCTCCGAGTTGTGAATAGCCGGAATTTGAATAACACTCGACCCCACAGCCAACACAAGATCCAGCCAGTTGTTCCCGTGCTGGAAGAATCTTCGCCAAGCTGGGAGCTCTGCTACAATGCGGATGATGATCTCGATGTCGAAGGCCACTGTAAGCGCTAGCTCTGACTTGTCAAGTATCTGTTGATGCAGGTCGCTCATATCAGCATTGGCGGTGGCTTGTACCACGAGCGATGCGAGAGCCAGAAATACCCAGCACCAGCGCGTATGGGTATAGAATTCCTTGAGCGAGTTGCTCTGAGAAATGTGTTTCCCGTCTGACCAACCCTCTTCTTGCTCTTCGACGACAAGTCCTAGTCTGTAATTGGAACAACATTAGCGCTAGCATATGGAAAAGTCAAGAAACACACGGTGCAGCACCAAAGGCACTCTTCTGCGTATCTGCACGTATGGCAGAGAACGAGTTCGTTATCACAGCAACGAACAGATTGATAAGCCAGATGTTCAACACGAGGATGCAGACAATGAAATAGAAGCAGGAGACAAAAAATTCGGCGTCGATGATCGAGTACATGATCGGGGACCACTGAGAGGAAATTAGCGCGACAGAAATATGAATAAAAAAACACATACGCCGTTGGCCGAAGTCACGACGACAACTTGAAGCGCGGCATAATAAATATTGTCGAAGCTCTGGATGCCACTGTATGGATTGTCTCCCTCCTGATCCGAAATTATAAGATCGTCATCTATCGAAGGAACTCCAGGCGACAAACCTGACAAACCTGCCCCAAAGGACAGATATAACCCTTGGCCGCGGAGCCTGATGTACCATCCAATTGTAAATAAGGAGAGACATTTAGGGTACCCGGATCAATGTAACCACCGCAAGATTGTGATATTTGCGTTTGATTTTCTCCGAGGGTGGGCTGAAGATAGCAATTCCGTCGAAAAGAACCCTTGAACGATTGGATGCCAATTATCCTTCGAGAATAATTCATGTTCGATAAGCATTCAGAGACCGGATAGACTCACGAGAATAGCACCGCAGCGAAGACAACAAAGTATGCCACGTTAGTAAGCAGCGGCCGAGCGATCTTCAGTGATTGCATGATTGTCTGTAGAATTGTGTAAATGCCAATAGGTAAAATCTCGCCCGCAAACTCACAGTAGTTCCAGAAGTAATAGCGAGAAGCCTTGCTATTCGCAGCACAGTCATCGCTCTGAACGCAGCGACATGATGAGACCCACGCTCCACGCCTGCCATCGCGAGTGCAAAGCTCAACCAGAAGCTGAGAATGGCGATGAAGTCAATTCTTCCCCAGCTTTGGCGCAAGTATGGCATATTACGATACACCTTGTCGCGTGCACTATCGATGTTTAATCGGAATGGCAGTGAGACCACGTCCGAAGGTGTTTGGTCTGACCGAAGGGCACGGGAGAAGAAAGTTGGCTGTGAGGGATTCCGGAGATGGGCGCGTGAAGAAGGCCCATCTACTATGGTCTGTTTTTCTTGACGTGAAGCGTCGTGAGGCAAATTCCTTGGACGAACTGCTATGTCAGGCATCGAACGTGACGTGGTAGCCTCGGAAAGTTTGAAAGGCCACGATATACGATCATAGAAGGACCTTAAGGAGAGGCCGCGTGACAAGGAACCGGGTGCGGAAGGACCCAACCTCGAGGTCGACGTTATTGATGATGTCGGACTTACAAAGAAAGCTGATATCGGAACTTCAGGATCTAGCAGAAATCCAGAAACGCATATTCGCGCAATTGCTTCAAACCTAACAAGAGGGATCAGGCTGAGGGGATGGTGGCAAGTATGAAACCTACGTGAATAGGGTGAACAACCCAAAAAGAACATAATCCTCCCAAGCAAAAAAGAAACCCTTAAGTGAGGTCGGCATAGACTGATCCGAGGGAAGAAGGACTGAGTGAGATGCTTGAGATATCAATACACAGGCAGTAAGAATTATTAAACAAAGTATCAGAGGTTCGGTCCATCTGCAAGGATGATTAATATTGTCGGGCGGGAGAAACCTAGAAGAGGCGTACGGGTGAGAAAGGAAGCCATAGAGGCGAAGACGAAACGTGCTGGAGGACTCTAAGAAACCGAGAGTGCGCCCTCGTAAGGGAGTCAGCTTTCTGGTAAGGAACACTTGTTGTTCGTTCCATTGTTCTTCGAGAGGTTCCTTGTTATCTTGTATGGGAGAATACTCGCCACCGTCAAAGTCTTCATCTGGTATGCGGATTGAATTGTCCGAGGCATGGCCTGAAAGATTAACAACGCGGAGAGATGCGCGTTGAAGGTGCTTTGACATTACCATGAATGCTGAGCCCGTTCGTTTGAGAGGAGAAGGTGAGGAACTGTAACGCAGCGTCCTCCGCCTAGTGGGGCCTGTAGCACCTCCCGTGCGCTCGGTATCAATGGTCAAATCATTAGCACTAGCCCAACTTCCGTCTGTGGATTTCCATTGAGAGTTGGTGCCAGTGAGATGGACATCATCTCCGTCCTTGGATGAGTCAAGGTCAGACTCCGGAGTCGAAATTAACGAGGCGGAGGATGGACCAGCTTGTGTAGCGGTGTAGGGTAATTCGTTGTAAATCGAACTCCCATTGTAGGCTAATGTATTTGCAAAGAATCCGTTGTCTGGAAAATAACCCGGGTCCTCGTCTGCAGTTAATGGCCGGGGCGATATTCTTGAAGGACCCGCCTCCATAGTTACTGAGAGATTTGGGCGTAAGGGATCCTGCCCTGCATCTAACTTTGCCCAGCTCGCTCGTCTGCGAGCGACGGAACGACCACCATCCACTGAAGGATGAAGTGTCGGAGACAGACTCGGACTCGGAGGAGCTGAAGTGGCAAGGCCTGTGATAGTGATAGTCAAGTCGATAGCAGAAGAAGAAGAACTTTGGGTTGAATGACTGAGAGATGAATGGTGTTGGCTGTCCAGATGCTGGCCATCCATAACATATGCGTCACGGTAGCCTCCGTAGCGTAAATGCAACGTCGGGAGAAAGTCTGTACAAATATTTAATCACCGGATACTATAGCTATCCTTGTGAAACATATTCTCGATTTGGGTTGTCAAAACACTGATCGGATCACCGTTGTAGTTCTTCAACTTCTTGCATTGCGGTTTTCTTCGTTTCGTCATTCATCATTAGTAATGCAAGACGGCGAAGAGGATCTTTATCTCGGTGATGTTTTCACGGTTTGTGCTAGTAATATATAGATGCTACCACCCAAAAGATTAATGTATTTTTCAACTACAGGAACCTCCGCGTCCACCAACACCTCCGCCAACCTTTGCAACATGCACTCGAAACGCCTTCCCCGATCTCAAAATCCGCCTGGTAGGATCGCATCCGTTATGGGCTCATCATCTGTACCGCTATTTAGACTTTGCGCCCACCGGACGCTGCTAATTCCTTGCGTTCAATTCAGATGGAATGCAGCATTAGCGTTTGCATCATATATAGATTCAAATCCAAAGATAGCACGCGATCGCTGTGTACTTGAACTCGGGGCTGGTGGAGGTCTCCCAGGACTCGTCGCAGCACAAAATGGTGCCAAAAAAGTCTGAACATATCCACGCCAGTTCCATCGCCTTGCCTCACTCGTTGAACAGGTTGTACTGACAGATTACCCGGAGGCGGTCCTCATCGATAACTTGGAATTCAACGCGAGACAAAATCTGGCTCCTGACGAGCAGGATCATGTTGAAACTCAGGTATTTTTTGGGAGCATTCGTGGCTTACTTGATTGCTCATTTTTCAGGGATATATGTGGGGCCACCCTGTAGACAGTATAATGCGGGCACTCCCAAAGGATGCCTCAACTGGATTTCACTTAATCATATTATCAGACTTAATCTTCAATCACTCGCAGGTAAGATCGCTATGGTCCATTCAATCATCGGTGTCTCAACGCACATAGCATGATGCATTATTGAAATCATGCGATATGTGCTTAGCTTCTCGCTCCGCAAACGATGATACTTCAATTGCACCATGCGTGCTGGTTTTCTACTCCCATCATCGACCGCATTTGGCAGATCGAGATCTTGATTTTTTCCGCAAAGCTCAGGGTGGAGGCTGGGTTTGTGAGGAGATAGTGACGCGCAAATATCCGGTTGGCTTGATCCACGTGTTGATGAATTCTTTTCTGACTGTTCGATGTTGCACAGCCCATGTTCCCGGAAGATCCAGGTGAAGAGGAAGTTCGTGCTACAGTACATGGTTGGAGGATGACCAGGGGGGATACCGGCGATTTTCCTCACTGAATTCCGATCTAGCACGCCGATAAAGTCTATTTTCATTTCAGGTAGGTGCTATAGCACCTCTCATCGTTTGTGAGACTTCCCATAACGCCCCATGATACGGTCACATCTATATTGAGATCCAGATCCAGTAAGCAACACTCCGGGGATTCAGACAAATATATTGCAAGTGATAAGCACGACTGGATAGACATTTCTTAACGTTCCTCGTATGACTCGGATTACAGTCCAGGTGATCTGGGAATGAACCTTGTTCAACCACCACGTGCGTGGGTTGAATCATGCTATTCTTCAAGTCTTGACGACCGGAGGAGCATCAACGGGCTGGCTTGTTGCTGCGTATGTGGTCGGCTGTGGGGCACTTGGCTGGTTCGTGGCACCATATTCAGGTGGCTGCGGAGCACTTTGCTGAGGCGCCGGAGCGGGTGTCTCCGCACCAGTGTCTGCAAGGGCAAGTTACACACATGACATGCGCAAAATTCTCAGTACTCACATCGATAACTACCCCTAGTACGTCTTCCCTGAACGTTGACACGCCTGAATATGAGCCAAAGCGCGTGCTACATATATGTTCAAAAGGAGTCAGCCACAATAATCACACAGATGAGCACAATTCCGCACGAGGAGTCCGGGAAGGTATCCGAGCCTAACAGTGACAGGACATGAGTGAAATGCAAAGTTTGCAGCGCGGGGAAGAAGTACTTACAAAGTCAACAAGATGTTCACGAGGAGATCACAACCGCAGCCTGAGATGAAGGCTGCTGCGGCAGGGGGAAAGAGAATGGCGACCTGTTCATTCCTTGTGTGAGTATATCAAGTAGAGTTGCTTGCACAAGAGCGGCGTACGATAATAAGTACACAGTCAGCAGCGCCATTATTGGATTCCATGGTATCACGGTCTGGCGCAATGAGGGCTAGGTGGGGATTTGTGCGACGGCGTGTGATTTTACTGATGCTGAGAATCCAAAGTCTGTATAAGGTTGATGGGCTACTAACTAGGGGCGGAAGTGGTGCATTGGCTGATGACGTTGGTTATTATGTAAGACGGTCGAGAAGCGTGTCAGAAGTGTAAATTTGGTATCGGGTAGTTTCACAAAAAGTAAGGAAGAGGTAATAAATACAACATCAGAAATCCGAGACACAGGGACAAACGGAAATTCATAATCCAAGTCATCATCCAGCGATAAATCATCATTACACGTCCACCCATCTGCCTCTCCTCAGATCGAGAAAAATGGCTGCTCTGCATTCTGACCCTGTTGCTGCTGCTGCAACTGGAAGGGGTTATTTTTGGTCCCAAGTCCTGTCTTCTGTGCTGCCAGCAAACCCGCTTGCGTGTGCCCGTAGCGCAGTGCGCCGACATTCCCGAATGTATCTTGACCATCGTCGCGATTGGCAAACAGATTGGCAAGATGCGAGTGCTCCTGGTCTGCCCGACTCGGGCCACCACGGCCCGCACCTGCGCCTGTGGATGTGCTGCTGACAGCTGGGGAAGGTGACGACACTTGTGAGGGTACAGGTGAAGAGTTGTAAGAAGGTGCATTCGAGTTGGAGTAGGTTCCTTGAAGATTAAATGATGGTCCAGGGGTGCCATTGACTGGTGTCCCTGATGATACTGGGATAGGCGAAGAAGCAGGAGCGAAGGGATTATTGGAACTGAAGTAAAGATTTGAGGTCACCGTAACGAGCATCCATATCAAAGCGGTGACATACCCGAATCCAGTTGGTTGCGCAAATAAGGCTTGCTGCTGCTGATGTTGTTGTTGTTGAGCTTGAAGTTGTTGTTGTCTGAACCATTCCTCTTGCGCCGCTTGTTGGGCCAGTTGCTGAGCTTGTGCCTGTGCTTCTTGCTGTTGACGAAGCCATTCTTGTTGTTGCCTCAAATATTCTGCCTATTAATGGAACGTTCAATCAATTCACAGTGAAACCAGGTGTTACCATACCTGCATTGCTTCCTGTTGCGCCTGCTGTTGGTATGGGTTAAATGATGTAAACTGTGGCTGCATCGTGTATTGAGGCTGAATAGTGTACTGCGGTTGCATCTGGGGCTGAGGTTGCAAGCCTGTTGCATATGGAGTAGGGTCGATAAAGGGAAATGGATTGTTACTGTTGGAACCGTTCGGTGAGGATCTGAAATGAACAAGATCATCAATTGAAATCAAGCATAGATATGGACTAACGTACATCTGCGCTTGATCATCGAATAATGCGTGAGCATTTGAGTCTTCAACGGCCTTATGTCTTTTCGCCTCCTCTTCCTCACTTAATCGTATTGCTGTGGCAAGGTCTTGCTCTTCAGCTTTCCGGCCCTGTTCCTCCGCAAGAGTCTTTTTTGATGCTTCGATCGCCTTACGGAGCTCGTCTTCATCGCGATCAGCACCACGGTTGGCCTTCCGTGGGGGCGTTCCAGGAGGAGGTGCAAAGCTCCTCCTCCCACCATCTTCGTCTTCTTCTCCATTGCCTTGCCCTCTTATCATTCTGTCGCGCATGCTTGCCCGAGTCCGGCGCTCCTCCTGTAAACGTGCTGGATCACTAAGGAGGTTGGAGATATCCTTAGCCTTCTGCCGGACGTTGGCACCGCAATCTTTCGCATCTTCATCCAGATATTGAAATTCCTTGAGTGTTTTTATGATGTATAAATTGTCACGGAAATATAGGACGACATTTTCAGAACCAGCGTGTAGGAGGTAGTCCAGCACGGTGAGTGACTGGGAGGGAGTTTGAATTCGGGTCCTCCATCCGAAGCAAGGTAGCTAACCTTGAATACATGTCGCCAATTCTTGCCTTTATCATTCAACCTTTTGTCAAGCATTTCCATGATCTCGACGAAGTCATTCCTGAGAACAATAGCACATCAGCACTGCTGGCGAACCACGACCACCAGGCAAGCTGCCTAACGATCACGCACTGATTGTATGACAGCTGAGCGATCTCGTTCATCTGAGTTCCTGATGGCCCCCATGGATCATTAGATGTTGCATCCCGGACTTTTGCCTGCGTGTCTGAATAACCCTTGGTATAATTTTTGGCGACACGGAGGGCACCCTTGCCAAAGTGCTGGAGCGACATTACACCGTATCGTGATTCGCAGAACAGAAGTTCCACAGATTATCAGGCTTTGCTTTAGTCAAATAGAGAAGGAGCGCGGAGCGGATCGTGGTCGGTGGGATGTTGTGAATGGAATAGAAGGGACGTGATAACTGCGGAAGTCGCCGACCCAGGTTGCAATATATTGCAATGTGTGAACCTTAACACACGCCGATGGTGAAGCGGTTATCATGCTTGCCTTCCAAGCAAGCGGCAGGGGTTCGACTCCCCTTCGGCGTATTTCTTTTTCGACTTTTTCTCGCGGCTTGCGCATAAGTTCCACTGAGAGTTCTACCTACATATAACCTGTAGTCGCGACTCGCCGTTGTGTACCGTCGATAACGCACTTTACCATGTCCTCTCTAGGAGGTCAACATCATTGACGTTAATTAGCAACGTGGCGCTCATTCTCGGGCCGGGCATTGAATACTCTTTGGAAATCGTTCACAGGCATCGATTTTTCATGCTGGGGTGGTAACACCAGACATACTGACGAATTGCAACGACGAGTACGAGTCGGAAGACTGCCGCATTAAGTTTAAAAAAAAAAAATTCTACTCATCATATGTTTACTGTGCGCATGTGCTAACAGAGTCTTAGCTGGCCATTGTTGATGAGTGACTTATCGCATCCGGTTTTTCAAAATGACCGTGACTGGCAGTCGCACCTACAATACTTTTTAGAAACCTTTGCCTACTTGGCCCTTGAAGATTTTGATGGGCCAAACCTACCGTAAACGTCTTATAAGTGATAACGCGTTTATTTATTTCCAAAGCTTTTGTCAGATAAACGTCCTAATCTGGTGCGATTTTCCATGGCGTACATATGTTCCAAGTGCCAACGAGTTGTCCAAAGCGAAATCAAAAGTCTGCAGTACAACCGACAACAAGCGGGTAAATACTAATATATTGTAAGATCTCTATTTATCACATATCTCAAAGACAAACCTATCAAACACGAGTCCTCCCCCGTCTCTCATACTCAACAAGCATATCCACCGCACGATCCCGCGAATCCTCCAACTCATCCCGATCCTCGCTCTGCTCCTCAAATACACTCGACCCCAATGCCCGACGCAACTGCATCACCACCTCCTTCTGTGGTCCTCTCGCAGGCGGACTGGGTGGGGGAGACAATATAAACGAAACCTCGTCATTGGTGTCATCGCAGCACAGAATCCGAGATGGAAAGATCCGCCGGAATAAAATGATGGTGTTCAGCACGATTTTGATGTCCTCATCGTCTACGACTAGGTCTTTCACATTCAACACGTCATTCTCCCGTACTTTAGCGAATGAGTCGGAGATAGCGCCGATGACGCCGCCTAGACTCCGGCCTGCGTTGATGGTCTCGTTCCACCTGGCTTCCTGCTCTACGTCGTGGGATTGAGAAAGTGGATCACTGTGCGAATGGGTGACAGTTTGCACGAAAAGTTTGGATGTGTGGGAGCGGAGACGTTGGCGTAGAAGGGTCGTGGCGAGGGCACCAAGTGGCGTTAGGGATGTGGTTGGGGGTGAGGATGTAAGTGTCAGAGCGGCTTGCTCGAGAGAGAGCGTTTCTAGCACTAATCGCTCGTAAGGGCGGACCACCCCAACACGAGCACGTTTCCATAACCTTTGCGAACGATCCTTTATGTAGAATGCTGGGAGTGAATGGGCAAGAAGACCCAGTGTCGCCAGATCACTTGCGTGTTGTGTTGTTTTGCCAGATGTGCCTAATATAGACGAAAGACGCAGATAGACTCGAAGACGTAAAAGGGCCGAAGCTGAGGCGGGGTGAAGAGCAACAAGCTCGGCTAAGCGAATCCAAGCCCTTCGCTCAAGTTCAAAGTCGGAGACCTCGTTCACCATACGCCTGGTGAAAACGCTTCGGACTGCTCCAAGTGCACCGGTGCTCAAACCTAGTGCGTCAATGAGAGCATCACGTTCATCCTGGGAACCGCTCTGAGCAAGTGCATCTGACAATGGACCTTGCTCTTGGCGGGTAGTTCTCTCCGTGGTGGTCGAATCAGCGTCTGACTCTGAGTCGCTGATATCAGGGGAGAGAGGGGGAGAAAGAGATTCCGCCACCTCGTGAGTTGTAAGTGGTGCTCGACTGCTGATTAGGTAACTAAAGGGTATGAGGCGCATGATCTTGGCACGTTGAACATATCCTGGAAGAGGTAGCCATGGAACGATGATTGTGAACAGAACCAGAACAGATGCGATCAGATGAATGGCTTGTACGGCGCTGCTCCATGACCACATCGTAGTAGTAGCAACAGGTGTAGAATCGGTAACCTGGGATAGTACCGAACCTTGGTGCGTGTGAGGATGCGAAGCACCTGTTGAGTTGAAGGGCGAGTTGAAAAATGAGAAGAGCGCAAAGACAGCAAGCAGATACTGCTGGGGCTGTGCCTGCATAGTAACATCGCCCTGGACTGGTGCACTAACAGAGTCACTGAGCAAAACAGGTGCAGCAGCGACAATCGGAAGCGGAGCGCCAGGTTGGATCTTACGGGGTCGACCTCGCTTGCGCTTCTCCGGCAGTGCTCCGGGGATACCCTCGGCGATGGGTGTGGGCGCAACAGCGGCAACAGAAACAGCAGGTAATTTATCCTTCTTGGCCGCAGGTGTCTTTGTTAACTTGGGCTTCTTGCGGGCGCGCTCAGAGTCATCACCCTCGTCTTCCCCATCGCCATCTTCATCATCACTCGCTTCGTAGGCTTCGGCATCATTGCCGATTTCATCACGTTCTGGGCCTCCAAATTTTTTGGCCCACTCATGGTCCCATTCAGCAAGGAGAGGTTGAGCACCGGGAATTCCAAGGATGAGGGTACGCAGCCCTTCTTGCTCGCGCTGAAGCCTAATCTCACGCCTTTTCAAAACGCTGTTACGACGATCAGCGCAAGTACGATTACAAAGGGGATAAATTTATTTCACCGGATATACTCAACTGCCTTTCCGAGCACATTGGCCTTGCTTCCTTTCCTCGCGACTTTGACACCGTCAATGTACCCGCGTTCATCTACAACATCACCTTCCTGGGTAGTATTTTGGTCTAGAACGCGAAGAGCAGGGACAGAGGCCTTGAGGCTTTGAATGCGCGCGTTGAGATTTGTGCGGTAACGGCGCTCGATAGTTGTATGACTAGTCTTTGGGCGGCTAATGACAGCAGCACCTGCCATCTGAGTGTTAGGTGCGGATGATCCAGAGTCGGAAGTGGGAGTGGTCGGACCGGGGGAAGGAGAGGACGATGCTGAAGATGAGAGATAAGGTTGAGAGTCCTGCTTGTGCTTCGGTGGTTTGGAGGAAGGCAATGCCGGAATAGAGGATATGAGCCGGGGTATGGGCAATTTTGCCTGCATGATCACCCCAGAGAAGGGGTCTGTGATATTCCATGAATAAAAAAACAGCTAGTGAAATAAATAAAAAATCGACCACGCATACCTGTACCCGAGCTAATCGGTACCATGACCGGAGACACGGACGTACCGGATGAGATGCTCATCCGGGGTGACTTCTCATCTGCCGAGCTGGAAGACGCCGAGGCAGAGCTGAGGGTAGGTGAGGAGAAAGTGAACGGAAAAGAGGAAAGTAAATCCTGGGGCTGGAAATGAAGAGAATTCATGTCGAACATAGTCTGCGGAGATGTGTTATGATAGTGCAATGTACTTGGGTCGACAGCCATGGACAATGCAGCATTAAGGTCAAGGTCCATAGGAAAAGAGAAGTTGAAAGAGCCGCCAAGATCAGGAAATTTTGAATTCTGGTCAGAATTCAAGTCCAAGGGTTGTTGCGGCCAGAGAGAGGAAAGCTGAGCCCAGTCTGGTGGAGAAGATGCTTGGGATGAGGAGGTTTCTGAATCTGACAGATTATTTAAGAGCATGGTGAGCGAGTCACTGAGCTCATCGTTTGAAACGTCGTCGACGTGAAGTTCACCGTCCATATTCATTGCTGCGCTACTGCCGGTAGGAGAGCAAAAGACTAACAGCAAGCAACGTTCGGGCTAGTTATAAGAGCTTATTGTAATCGTGCCACTTTTCTGAATCACCAGTCGCACCATTTCTAAATTATTCCCAACTTAGGAAGTTTATTCTCACCACACAGGTTGACCGGCAACGTCGATTGAGGCTATGTCTGTATATACCTCAGGTTGCCCTCGAGCAACCCTCGAGCTTCTTTTTTGGTCTGGTCCTGGCCTTTAACAATGCCCAGCGCCCCGCAGAATCTCGCTCTGTAGTGCATACTATGCGACCAAGAATAACGACCTTCCCTACACTGGGTTTGAGGCAGACTTTATGCTTGCGATGTGCAGGATGGGTGATCGGGAGTCCATTTATTTATGCAGGTAGTATTGACAGAATTACACAGCAACAGGCCTAACTTAATCACGAGTCTCGCTTTAAAGCGGTCTTCTGAGAACATACATTCAGACGAGGTTCGTCCAACCCGGAATCATCCACCAACCTGGTGCATCTGCGATTCTAATTTGATTGTATTCTTCGACGATGTTTTAGTGCGCACCTTGAGGATACGTGTTAGCTTCTGTCCTTGCTCTGTAACGATGCCTGACGTCTCGTGCATTCTGTTTGTCAGAATGTTATGTGGGCAAATATTGCCCCTGACTTGAAGATAACGAATTCTTGTCAATCAGTCTTCCCTGACCGTCGTGGACGAGTGGAGAGGCCTCTTATACGATGGCTGTTTTGGAGCTTTCTAACACTTCATTTGGTGCGCAGAATACCTGTGAACTGACTAGAGACTAATGAATTTCATGAGCCACTCTTACTTGAATCTTCGCACGTGTCATCAGACGGGACTTCTTGTAAGTGGCAACACACATATTTAAACTTGCATGCTTTGATTGCGAGACGTCGTGTAGCTCCGTGCATATATGTAGGCAGATAGTTCCGCTAGCAATACAACACGCTGTTGGTTTGTTCATATCAAATCCTATCCTCTATATCACTTCGGAACACGGAATAATACCGCAACGAAACTCATGATCTCCATGCTCCCCACACAGTACTGTGGTTGATCGTTTGGATTGTTTTACGCGCTATACATATCCACCTTTCGACGCATCTCTGCCAGTCGACGCATCTCCACCCGCCTGGAAAGTAATGGATGTCAAGCATGTTTCCTCCTCCGGATCTGGACACGATCTTAGCATTATATTCTCGAACATTGAAGATCAGATGCGGTCCCAGCACAAACATCTGCAACACTTGAGCAAATATCATAAGGTCGTTATGGACAAAAGCTCCCGCAGAAGATGAGGAGTGGTCAGATGCACATGTTATTCACAGGTTAGCGTACCGATATATTTGGAGACAAAGCGCGAAGAGCGGTGAGGCAAACCACGGCAGCAAAGCTAACACACGCGAAACCTCAGCGAAACATAACAACGTCCAAATCACCGAGCTCATAAAGCAGGTGGCTTTTTGTTAACACCGTAAAACAGTCCAAAATGATCGATCTATTCAGCGATTGTTGCAGTTCACGAGAGTGTTTTATAACAATCCAAACCGCACGAACTTAAAGGGCAAGGATCCCCTACCTCAAACTCCCGTAACTCAGGTGCATGGGAGAAAGTGAGTGATATCCCTTAATTCACCTTCATTTCGTCGTCACTCGTTCAATTTTGTAGCAACCTTCTGAGTTGTCATCTGGAATTGTAACCTTTCTACTCATAAACAGGCCTTCGCGATGGCCACAGGAGAGCCTTGCATCTGCAATTCCGTCACTTGAACTTTGTTTCTCAAGTTCAATGATTACATGTTTGACTTCTGGATTGTTTATCCGTTAATTTTGAGCCTCCACTATGTTTTTCCAACACCATCCGCCGTGAAGTTCTGCCATCCAGGCGTAACCAATTTGCCAAATCAATATTGCCTCAAACCTTCTTTTCAAGACACAAAAGCAAGCCCTGTCCAACTCTTGAGGGGTAGTTCAGGGTCCCCTTTGCAAAGGTTGAATCACCTCGCATAACTCATGCATTTATCCTTCCTCGTCGTCGTTACCAGTACTTTTGCAGCATGTATACCTGTCACTGCATGCAGTCCACGATAAGTCTGCTTTACATTCAGGATTCAACCCCGTTCCTCACCCCTTACACTTTGCAATATTAATCATAGCCTTCTGGTGGCATAGTGCCAGTGTGCAATCATTAGACTGCTCACTGATGGGCTGATAGCCTGTTCATGAGGACAACTAGATAGTGAGTCATGTTTCTGCTTTCGCATTAGTGCTGATGGCACAATACGTAGTCGATGTATGTGTTGTTCCCCACTCAACTCAACAATAAATTTCCAGCCTCTCGATGCATGTATCTTTGAGTGCTTCAGGATCCTTGGCGGAAAATTCAGGGTTAATTCACCGTGGCAGATCGCGAACACCCCACTTATCTCGACTCGCCAAGTTGATCCTCAGCTCAATAGTAAGGTAAGAACAATAGGTGGTTCGAGTGGATGGCCAATATTAACGCACACGAACTGAGCAGGTCATGGACAGCACGGTTGATGCCCGACTTGAAGAGGATGCACTTTTTAGGTGTATCGTATTCACAATAATATTGCCAAATATCTGCACCACCCCTAGTACTCTCGCGGTCCTTCAGACGAGGTTGGTTTGAGGTTAGTCCATCATTGCAGCGAATATGACGATCTGCTACAGCTTCATCTGATTTCATAACCAACTAGCAGTCAATGGTGCGAAAAAGGCAAACATGTTCTGTCTACTTACTTCCCGCAGAGACGTTGTGTAGCATCCTTAAGGCTGCGCTGGACAATATGGTCGAAGATGACATAAAGATAACTCCTCAAGCCGAACATCGGACGCGGGGGGCAGCCTACAGTTCCCCCACACCATGGAATTGATGTGGAGACATTGTCGAGATATCGCGTCTTCTGCATCTGAGTTGTGGACTCGGATCTTGTGTCGTGCGCTGTGAGGATGACCAGTAGACAGAATATGGTGAGCTATGCAATTCATTTGACAACAACAGCCAGGGTCCTTGCCCAACCGAGATCCTGCTATGTTACACAGCATAGCGCCACATATTGGACGACTCAGGAGTTTGGGAAGATGGAACCCCTTCGACGAATATGCCCGGCACCACTTTCAACGCTTACTATCAAGATGCACGCCCCTGCTCAAGTGGTTACAATTCATAGACGCAGGACCCTCCAATAGTAGGGGCCACATTTCTGGCGCACAGAAGGCGTTTTTCCAAATTGATTATCCTACCCTGGCGCTGTCCCTCAAGTTGGGTTGACAATTTGAAATGTCAGTGGCACGGTTTTACGCACAGTCAACTATTCGACCTTTGTACTCGGAGTACTAGACGTTTCTCACACGTCAGTGCCTGCAGTTTGACAGCCAAATCTTTCTCGAGTTTATACGGCAAACCCCCAGGGGGAAAATCAGGGCAGAAAAAGTGATCCTGTTCGGCCACATCGACACTTTGGCTGTGATCGATGACGATTGCCAGACCATTGTTATTCGCCACTGCAATCATGTTGAAGACATTCGTGGCGTATCGTTACCTTGAGTTTGATAGGTGCACAAGCAAGGAGTCGACACCTCAAACTTTCCACAATTGGCTCGGTGGTACAGTGACTGTCGTGAACAACAGCTAGTCTATCTCTGCATGACAAATATCTTTGTCTTTCTTGGCGTATCTGTGAGTCGCCGTACCATGGTTTGTTCCCAGTGGCTCCGTGTCACCGCACTCAAGCTCGTAGCCGAGGGTGACTTCGTCACGAAATTTCCGCTCAAAATGCTGAGCAGCAGCCGGAGGGAGGCTGGGGGGTAGGACTCGTTGAAGGAGTGGTTGACGTGCCTGAATCGCTCCAAGGAAAGGTAAATGTTTTGATAGATGATCACGCGAGTTTATATGTTATAATATTGAGCAGGATTTGCACAGCTTTAAAGCTTTGCAATTGATGATTTGTCTTGGCCAACGTTTCTTCCACGTATAAATTTGAGGGTCTATTAGTCTAAGTGACGTTCAAAATTCTGGCGAAATCACTTTTACACCAAAGGCGTCGTCCGCACTATGATTTCTTTGCAGCTCGAATTCCAACCTGATAGCATTTATCACATCGTCAGTCAGACTAGTCATAATCTGGTTGCACAAATGGTTGCACTAAGATAACGACCACGCCACACAGTTTCTCTGGCTTCTTCTCTAGAGGTGTCAGAAAGGCGAATGCCCTGGACGAATACGGCCGTAGTAAGGTCAAAGTGCCTCCCGCACTCCGAAGTGTTGTCAACCCATCGGCTTTGCAAGGCCACCTACCGGAAACAGCGATAGCTGCTGTCAAAAGTGTATGCATCAAACAAACGCGTTAACGCGTCTAATGTAACCTTAAAATCAAGCGCCTCCGAAATACACTAGTAGTTACTCGGAAGCTGCATCTAATTGACTGCAGCAATGGTGCAGCATTAAAGATTAATGACCTGCCAGCTGGTCCCTAGAAACGGTGATTGTTTTTGCAGGGTCGATGCTCGCGTCGCGTTTTTCTTAATATTCCCGGCATCTGCGGGTTAATCACGTTACCCTGCAGATCCACCCAACCTCCACCTTCCCTAGTGTTACTATAAAATTTGTTCATCGATTACTTGTAAGTGAGAAAGGTAGAGATTCGAAGCTAGGGAGGAGAGCCCTGGTCATCATGGGTCCTGTTGAACATCATTCAACGTCATGTGACCTGATACTTTCACAATGAATGGAATTTGAAAGTCTCAAATGCAATTGTCCCTAAAAGGAAATCAATTGACTCTTCAAGAAATCGCGGTTTCGGTTGCTCAGCTTCGTGTTTTTCTTTCGTGCTCGACGTTTATCGAGAATTTCGGTTGTTGACAAGTCGCCGACTTGAGCTCGTTGCAACTGTAGTCAGTTCATTCACCTTCACTATATTGGCTGGTAAATTTGATTGTTGCAAGCACATCATATCCCAGGTACCGCTTTTCTCCTACTACTTACCGCATTCAAACTCTGCTCACATCCACTCAAGTTTCATCTTTTGTTGCGTTGACAGGCAAATAACGCATGGCCTTTGTCTGGTTCAAAGGCTAGATTTTGAACTCACTGCAGGAACCCAGTGATCTTTACTCCTTTTCGCCTTGACGCACGCCGTCCCATTCATTTACTTCGAACTCTCTTTTTACATTAACATGTCACACACAATCCCCCAAGTCCGCAGACGTCCCACGAAGCTCAGGCCGTCCGGAGTAAGACCAGATTCTAATGTCGTTCGCGCGTCAGTTTTCGAGACTGCCCTCGAGCTTGGGATTCACAATTCCACCGTCGCGAATTGGATATTCAATAGCCCCTTGCCTGAGGAGGCAGAAGAACTGGAGGATATCCCTCCTGAAACGGAGGTAGAAGAAGTACGTCGTCACCATCTCAGATATGACTGGACGCTCAATCAAGTTCTTTTGTTCACTTCATCATTGCTGCGTTCACTCGCGCAGACTTTGACTGCCCTCACTTTTGGCTCGCATGCTGCGAGCGACGAGTCGTCAATGACGTTCTCCCCGCAAAACAACGTTGCATCCGCAAGGCAGATACACATGCACAAGCCGAGCGTATTCGAACCTCTCCACGTGCACTTCAATGATTTTGCTTCCGCGCAGCTCACGCTATCATTGCCTCCGCTGAGTACGCAAGCCAATGAGAGGGAGAGGCCCGGAAGCATGTCCAATTCGTCTGGGAAGCCGTCAAATGATATGGGACACCAATCGAGTGAGGATATCATACGTCAGACCGACCGCAAATGTGCCACACCAAATTCCGCAAAGTCTGAAGCGGGCTATGGGAGCGATGGTCAATATCTTTCTGACAGTGCTGGTCTCAAAAAGTCTGGCAAACTGAAAGGAAAAGGCAAGAAAGGCAAGCCGCCAGCCTTGGATTTGCGTTCCGGTTTTGATGAAGCGCCCGGCTATTCTTCGGATGGAGGTTATCTCTCTGCGTCATCAAGCAAGTCGCAAGGGAAGTCAAGTAAGGGTAAATCTCGCGCAATGGCCTTCTTTCGGAGGAAGCCAAAGAAGCAGCGAACCAGCGATGAAGAAGATGATAACTACATACCACCAGTCCCTGCGATGCCTCCAATGGCCGTTCCTTCGAGTCCAAGACCTTTGAAGCATCTTGTCGCAACACCTTCATCCCCTTCACGATCTGGCTTCACTCCTCTGAAGCTGAACTTCAACACCTCAACTCGAGCGTCAAGTCCTGTCTTACACTCAAGAAAAGACCGCGCCAGTCCTCCACTTGCTCGAGTAGCAACACCATCCCCCACTCCCACACCTCCTCCACCATCCGAGCAGACAGTAAATTCGATGCCGTCGCCTTCACCTTTGCCTGTGCCTCCGTCTACGCCTGCTCCCGCTATTCCGTCCACGCCGATATCTCACGCACCAACTCCCAGTACGCCCCTTATTGTGGTATCACCTACTATCTCCCAGGCTCCTGCAACCCCCATTCGTTCATCCCCGATCACCTCTCCTCGGCATATCACTATTCGACCCGCGGCTCCTCCACCTACGCAGCCATTGCCACAGCCGCCTCCAATTCCCACACCATCCACGCCATCACAAAGGGCTCCTGGATTACCACCTACGCAAGCACTGCCTCCGGTTCCAGTGCGTCCACTTCCCGTGCCACCATCTACGCCGACGACGCCCTCGCGGAGACTGCCACCTTTCCGACCGGTTGCAGTGGCACCTGGCTCTACAGCTCCGTTAGTTCCTCGTCGGCATCCACAAGCTCAGCCCCGCGTTCTATTTTCGCCTCGCCCACAGCCGTCACATAGCGCATCTGACTCGGTTGTCCCGCAATACAAGCATGACAATGGTGAGGCATCACCGAGGAGGTACCAGAGCCACAGCGTTATTCCCAGTGATGACAGCTCTAAGACCCACCCTCCCGGGCATGGCGGTGCGGTACGGAGACAGCATTCAGAGATATCACCACCTCCATTTCTTCAACGGCGCATGCATGGCATGCAGGGATCCCCACGGCATCCACCCCCAGATTCACCTCTCCCACAAGTTCCGAATGCGCGCCCTATGCATCCTCCAGCGTTCCCCTCGAAATTCCATGAACACTTTTCGTCTGTGTCGTCAGTAAGTCATACTTTGCCTGCTCTACGCAGTACGAGTGGGTCTGGCTCCTCATCTGGCCCGTCTGTTCGCTCCTCCAACGCCCCGTCAGTATCTACTTCTGACAGTCACGGCAGCTCAAGTCATCACTCAGAAGGCGTCGTAGATATGCGTTCAGATACAAGATCTTCCTCGCGGTCAGAGTCTGGCTACGGGAAGCAAATCACGGACAGCATCGCTTACTCACACTCACATTCGTCCATACTCGATACCCGGAGCGACATCAGTGCCAGCGTCTACGATGAGCGTTCGAGCACATATGACGAAGAGGGGGGGAAAGATCCCAAGGGCGCACAAGCTGACGACGAGGATGACGATGAGGCATCGATCTATCCCTCAGATGAGAAGACGGCTGGTAGGCGTACGATGTACCTGGTCGAAAATGGCCAGGCTCTGGATGAGGACGGAGATGTGTTCCCGCCCCCATTACCGCCCCCGGTAGGAAGATACTTTTAACTGATGTTGGGGTATCAGTTACCGTTCGCTTTGATTTATCTGGTGTTTTTGGCTTTTTTTTGTAGTCGTTCTTTCGCTCTTTTTTTCGTTTGATGGTTGGCTTTTTTGATAATTTTAATGGCGCAAGCACTCGAGACATGACATCTGCTCGATGCAGCTGTGGTAGTAGTAGATACGATCTTGATGTTATGGTAGTAGGTTAATGGCCTAGCACTACTAGGACTATCCATCAATGCATCGCGCTGCAGGCTGGTAGAAGCAATTTAATTCAGCTCAGCTTCTACGTCATTGGCCCGGGGTCTGTCGGCAAATTCTATGCTGTCCGCCTTCGAATTCACGCCTACTCTCACACTTTCGTCGGCGTTGACATGTTGACATCTCTGATCTCATGTATCATCTCGGATCCAGTACCGTACACCCTGCGGTATCTATACACTCACGGCCTCACTGCAAACTCCTGGAACTCTCGCATGTCTGTCTCCGCTCCCGTCTGGGTCTATCACCATTTCACCCGCAGTTCTTCTACCAACAGAGGCATATTCGGCCGCGGCTGCCTCCTTCCCTAGTATGCCATGCACACTGTCACGAAGAGTCCTTGTATCGTTATCCACGCAAGCCCTAGAGTCCTCCGGTACCAGTGCATCGGTTGCTCATTCCACCATCTACGCTGACGATGCCCTTGCAGAAACTTCGACTGTTCTGACTGATTGTAGTGGTGCCTGACCAATAGCCATATAGCTCAACTAGTTACTCGCAGGATTTCATCGTGTATACTATCTTGTCCCTGCGAGACATTGAGCCCCAGCGCTTATCACGAGTGCCAGGCCATGCAGGCTGTATGTGGCTCTTCATGCCCCTCAGTGCAGTACGCATTCCCCTGGGTCGTCATTACAACCACGGTCTTTGTTTTATTCCCTGACGGTGATGGTAGCTTTGGTATCTCCTGCATGTCCATTTCAGATGCCGGTATCGACGATATTGCACATGTTGCGCATTGACAGTAAAATTATTTTCAAGTTCTGCCCATTTCCAGCCTGGGTCAAAATTGCAGAGGTCCTACGTCCATGGTCATTTTGACCTGCTGGTATCTTCAGCGGCTGGTGGAGCCGGTACACGGTAAGTTCCGTTTTCTTGAGCACACACTTTGACCGTTTCTTGGAGTGCTGCAATTGGGGTTAGATGTGATCTGCTCATTAGATGAAAATTGCAGACCTTTTGGAATGAAGTAACCGTCATATATACCATCACTCGAGGTGGCACGTGGCGCTGTAATATCATCTTCAGTGCAGGCTTGATCTCTCACCAAGGAAGGCTACCAATGGGTCCGATAGGCTGCCATCGCAAAGTCTCCCGTAGAACTGATTCGAGGTATGGCAGTAACGCCCTGTCTTCGAAGGTAGGTAAGCGATCCCGCCCAACCGCTGAGTCGATCTCCACTTGTGCGCGTTTTTGAACATTTGGGTAAGACACCATGGCGAGAGCAAAAACCATCAAGAATGAAATAGTCTGTAAGAAACTTCGGCAGTTGACAGGCTGGGTCGGATATCGGCTAACCGTCTCGTATGAACCTGAATAGATGTGTATCAATAAGAGGTATAACATCCCCTGTAAAAAGATGACGAACCCAGAATAGCAGTAGTAGCTGCTTTCTTTAAGGTACATACCCTCAAACAATGGTCTGGATGTCTGATCTTGCATCTCGATTTGTTGGAGATTTTCTGCTACCATCGAAAACTGACCAAGGGCCGAGTTTTCGGCCTTGACGACCATGTGATTAATAGCTAGGATGAACTAATATCTTTCAAAACGAAAGATGCCCACCATATGCTCCTGTACATATTGAAATGGCACGTCGGTCATTTCTCTCATACAATTGGCCGAAGTTTGAGAGCATCGCGTTTGATTGAAGATCCCTCCCTAGCACCAGTCAGGTAACTTCAGTACTGCGTCAGAGTACAGAGTGTCGGCTATTTTCACGAGAAAAACAGCTTAGCTCACAGAAGGGGAAAAATTTGAGCAAGATTGCTCTCTCTGGGGTCATCGCCTGAAAGGCAAGAGCCACAGCATTTTCTACAATTCGAACCAGAGGATCATCACGAGGACTAGTTTGGTGGCCGTATGTCGCTGGCATCGTAATTGATGCCGAGAATCTATGAACAGGTTAGCAATCATTTGATGTTTACAAACACATAGACTGACGTTGCAAAGTGAGAATGAGGGTCATCGATTAGATTGACGATCATCTCATGCGCGCGCTTGATCTGCATTGGACGAAACTTGAGTGCAGAGTGAAGACGGAAAATTTGGTGCAAGAGTCGTCGGCAACGACGCCATTCGTCGCCATAGCCTGCAAACGCAAAAATGACCGACCAACCAAACCTGCCTATAATCTATCATACTTAAACGGAAGAACGCGCGGAGTGTGGCTATGTACGGTCTATCGGATTAAATGCGAGAACGCTTGTCCAGCAAGGCTTCCGCAACGTGCTGAGAATTGATCACCACGACTTCCTGGTCTAGAAGTCGCACGAAAAACAAGTCTCCTGATATAGTAATTTGCATAACATATGCACTGTGGTACTATCCGACCACGTACCATAAGCAGCAGCCCATTCGGTATAAGTCAACCATGGTGCCTTGGTATTGACGGACAAGACGTTTCCTGACAGGGGGAAGTTCTGTTTGTTATCAAGGAACCGCATGAAGGCTTTTATAACAACAAGGGATGCGGGTAAGACGGAGCATAGCAAGGCGAACATCAACTAAAGGAAACATGGTTAGAGGAGTGCGTGGGTACGTATAGATATCGAAGGCGCAAAACAAACATTGAGTTATAACTGCACGAAAAGCCGCTCACCGCGCCAATCCTATCGTGTGGCACGGCCGCACGGGGCATGACGGGGAGGATGACTAAGCGCACGTGGGCTTGGCAAATAGCGCGCGCTCGTCGTGGTCGGCGATGTGTGGAGGTCTGTGGGCAGTGAGGAACCCAGCGGGAAGGGAGATGAGGCCCAAAATAGACAGCCGAGCAATATATTATCGGGTTGGACAAGCGATAAACGTTAAACGCATGCCGTCATCGTGACCCAGCTCCATCTACCCCTGATACTATCCAATTTGTACATGGGTATAAATACCTTACATGTCCATAGTCGAGTACTGTCGAGCGCCCCTCGATCATCCGGGTCTTGTTGGTCATATCATAACGATTGGTAAGAGCCCAAACGACGCAGAGCAACCTTCTCCGGCAGTAAAAAAACCGCGTCTCTCAGGCCATTAACTAGGATCTGTCATCCAAGTGAAGTAACGAACGTTTCATCCACGATGAAGACGCAAGATTGTGCATTCAGTATGTTACAGCTAACAATCTATTATAGAGGAAAAATCAGCGGGGGAGGGCAGGGTGCAAATGTAATCTTGCCTCGACTCGAAAGTTCAGATCTTGGTGGGCTGTGTCTGGGACTGCTGTAGTTTAGCCTGCATTACATTAACGAGGTAGCTCATATTCTCCTGCTTCTTTTGTATCGTTTCTTGTAGCGTATCGAGATTAGTGCGAATATATTCCACTTTTGTCTCATAATATTTTGTGGCCTGTGCCCGAGACTGTACGGTCGTCTAATCAGCGGCGGACTGTAACATAAGACCTCACACATGCCTTCTTCACGTAATATCCTGTACCGACGTCGACGATCACATTCTCCGCATCACTTAAGTGACCAGGAACATATAGGGAGTTGGTCAAAGGAACGAGGATAGTCGTTCCTGCACAGATAGAATTAAGTAAGAGCCTGAAGATGAAAATGCCGATGTACCTTTGTTTTGAGGTTTAATTTCTCTGACATTCTCAATGCATGACTTAAACTTCGCTTGTGCCTGCTTCAGCTGAGCGAATGAATTTGTGAGGTGGTTCAGCTCCTACAACTGCAATCAGAGACGCAGAAAAACAGTAATATCATTAAGGTACCTCCTCTAGCTGGCGGCGCACATCAGATAGCTGTTGGAGGTCGAGATCAGCAACATTGATTTGTTGAGGCTGCGACGAAGTGGTTGAAGCCATCGCTGGATTGAGCGTGACAAGAGTGTGACCGATGGTCCCTTCAGCCGTGACATTAATAGTGTGAGATAAATGCGAGACTCTAAACGGTTGCTGCCTGCAGCCTTAGCCTGTGCATGCGGCTGCAACCATGTCCATCGATGCCATCGACTCAAGAGGAAGAATACCTCAGGATATAGGTCTGTTATTAAGTCTAAAGCTGCAAGAGTTCAACTGATACCCCGCTGTCCAGTTGCTATCTTCCACGCTTCGTTTCACCCAACGAAAGGTAATCTAGTGGACTGGTGTTTGAAGGCCAGCGATGGTCTGTTTGCAGTTTTCATATCGGTTAGCGACTTAAATGTGCTTCAGACCTTGAGCTCGATGGTGTTGAATTTAGCACCCTCCCCAGTGGTCTCCATCTTGTAGATCAGGATGTGGTGTATGTGCCCTGCACCCATACCACAGCTCTACTTATTAGAATTCAATAGATACTTCACGAAGGATACCCATTCCGGCATATGTGTTTTCCGTCGGCGGAGGACCGCTGAACAAGGCCACCGCGGGTTCCGGCTGACGTCTCTTGGAGTTTTATTGGCCAAATCTACCCGGTCTCGTCCATGGCGGCATGTCGCTGCCCTTCGGACTTTAGCTGACTCCATCTATCTCTCGCTAGAAACCAGAGGTGTTTTAGAGCCATCCGAAAGCGATTGGGAACCCGCTCGTGTTTTTTTCGAAGAACGCAAGGTTCGACGAGCAGATCTCAGTGGTGCTGGCGAATGGTATGGTTGGAGCCATGAACTTGATAATGTACGATGCAGCATGAGTTTTACCTTATGTTTCTCTGACCCCAAAATACAGCCGGATTCAGAATTGTCTCGATTCAATCCTACTATGCACCTCTCACACTTGTTGCGCATCCTAGGACCTTCGGCTTTGACATTGTACAAGCATGTCCTTGGGCGTCAGAGAATACTTATATATACGCTCCCGCCGGTTGAAGCCGCATGCATACTGTGCCAGGTGGCTGCGGATATCTGTTACGCAGCTCAACTTGACCCGTCAACTAATGACATCAATGAAAATGACCCGGCGACGCAGTATTATACGAGGCTTAAGGGTAAAACACAAGAGGGTATTCATGTGCTTGGCATGGTTACTCTCAATGACCTTGACAAGATGGATCGCGAGGGCAAAACTGGTCGAGGTTGGGTTGCTTGTAAGTGATGACAATATAGCTCTTGGCGTGCCCCTCATTCTGGTTTGAAAGGCACGACTGATGCCATTTTTCTGGAAAAACCATCTTACTACGACCTCTTGATCGATCTAACGACATCTACGCCCTCCAAAACTTCACGACCGACCTTATACCTCTCAAAGCCGCAGCCCCAGCCACCTGGTTCCAAAGGGCCCACACATCGTTTAGCTGTTTTTCGTTTCACGTGGAGTGATATAAGGCTGGTACATATATTTGCAGTCATGCCTCTGTATGCGTGTTGAACACACCTGACAGTGGAACGAGCTTGAACGTATTCTGCAGCTGGATGGCGATCAATGTGCACAGCCATGCTGCCGTCCCTCATTTGAAATCAATGCCAGAAATAAACCCTCATCTTCGTGGACAGACCCTTGGAGAATATATGAAGATGTGTGTATTGTATGTGCTGGGCTCTGGATGGGGTCCTGGCGTGGCAACTCAGTTGCGTCCTATTCCACTGGCAACGGATCCCTCGCCAACTGGGGCAGCATCAGATTAGAAGGTGACGATGATCTTACCGTTGACGGAACATTTGTGCGTAACCTGGGTATGGGGATTGAAGGGTGTCCTGGTGGAAGCCCAAACTCAAAGGGAATGAGAAGGACCAGCGGCATGACTTGGCCGGTTAGAAATACTGGTGCTGACCGTCGCCAGCCTTCGTCATCTTCCGCTGCTACGCGATCTATGCCACAGTTATGCAACAATGGTAATGACACAGATCCAGAAACCAACGAACGACATGATCGTCAGATTCTAACGACACTCGCCCTACTTCAAACATTTCACGCCAACACCAGCTTCCAACTCTCTCGCCTAGTTGATCTACTTCCTTCTGTCACCTCCGGTACACCAGAGACTTCGGTGATTTACATTACTCCAAAAGATATGGTATCATTCGAGCTTGGCCCTCTAAGCTCTCTTGATGCCCGTTACCTAGAGTGGTTAGCTGACGAGTATGGTGCAGGGTCGCGGATCGTAGTGAAGAGGGGATGGAAGGATTTATTTGGAATGATATTTGGCTTTGGTTGACTAACATCGACTCTCGCTGAGAAGACGCGGTGTTTTATATTTATGAATTTGTTTTGTTGGCGGCTTGATACCCAACAGAAATGTAGTGTTAGACCCTATTAGACTAGTCCCCTGCCTTGAGGCTTCATTAATTATGCAGTCTCAGATTCAAACTATAAACTCCACAGTTTGCTGACTAAGTATAAGTCATGCCACTAACACGGCCACACTAGAATTCCGAGCTGTATCTGTCCCACGACTGGCCAACAGCCTACATCAAAAGCTATCCTCTTCTTCTTTGTAATAATCGTCTAGTCGCATAGTGAATGGCAGAGAGCAAGGTAAGCTCAACGAGATTGCTGAGCATCTTCTCACCTTTTGCCACCATGGCATATTGCAGGGTCCCACAACTACCGGCGGTTCAGTGAACAAGCTCGCCATGTCTCGAGCGCTCGGGGCAGCATTTCTAAGCCATCAAGTCGAACAGCTGGAAAAATCGGTTACACGTGGGCCAGCATCTGGAAACTGGAGAGACCGTCGTCATCCGCAAGCCGACTTGGGTAATACCAACCGTCGCGGTGTTATCAATCATACTCCCAAGCAGCGCCCATCTTCAGGCAATAGGTCTGCGAAGAAGTCTGTCGGTGAAGCTGTACCTGAAAGAGAGCACAGTGAGGCCAAGGTGCAAAAGCCCAGGAAATCGAGCCAGGAGGCGAGGGGTGACAAGGACGCTGATATAGTAGTGGTCGATGCGAGCGTATTGGTACACGCCCTCCACCAGGTGAAGAAATGGTGCAGAGATGGACGTGATGAAATCGTTATTGTACCCCTTGAAGGTCAGTCGAGACGTTAGAAATGTTTTGTCAACTGACGTGAGGTGGCTTAGCCTTGAATACTCTTGATTTACTCAAGAAGGGAACAAGTCCTCTCGCCCAGCGCGCGCGGTCAGCTTCACGAATTTTAGAGGCTCAAGTTGGCACAAATCCTCGTATCCGTGTCCAGCGGGATGATGCCTTCGTTCCGTGGGACCGCATCGAGTTCAAGGACTTGTCACCTGATGATGCCAAGGACAAGGCTACGTTACAGTCGCTGCACCTATCTGGTTCTCCAGAGTGGGTTCGGCGCATGATTTGTTGCGCACGTTGGGAAGTTGATCACGTCGCTGAAACTCGTGCTTCAACGAACGACAAACTCAAAGTCGTTCTTGCTATCCTTTCCCCTTCTGCTGCTCCAGCTCAGGTCTGTCGAACCGAGGCAATGCCCGAAGTATCATCTCCAGTACCCCTTCCAGCTCCGAGTCCACACACTCACAAATATGAACCTCGTTCAGCTGGCCTATTGATTGGACACTGGGCTACCCGGGCTGATATCACTCTCTTAGAAGTAGAACCTTCCTCAGCGCCACTTGTTCCACCTTCATCGAACCACCCTCGTAACCTTGATGATGACGACAGAGGAAAACGACAGGCCGGTCGAGGTAGACGTAATTCCCATACCGCTCAGGGGGGTCTTCCTGTCGCTCGAGGCACCGGGCTAGTGGAGCGCCCTGCTGCCGTCATGCAAATGATGGAAGTGATCTCTCAGCCTAGCAAGGTCGTCCGCGTTCTTGCTCGAGGCGAGAAACTAGAACCAGACCCATAATCCTAATTATGTGGCATCTTTGAGTACAAGGTGTGTTCACTTTAACTTATGGATGTTGACTATTGACCAATGCAGCCGAGATATGACTGTTCCTCGGTTCCAAGGCTGTTCCAGCTCCGTCTCGATTAACGACGTCATGGAAAGTATTGGAAGCCTCACAGATCACCCATACTCGCTCTGCCTCTCATTCCTCAGAGCATGGATTCTGCAGGAAATATCTCCAGGCATCTTTGTGTGGTCTCTTTGCTTCGAGTGTGCAGTCCTTATGAGGGTCTAACCACAGCAGTTACGGAACTAGTGTTCACGATAACTTTTTACTGGTTCCTATCATCCTACAAACACTTTGTTTCACTGTCTGCGGACTGTCCGATGTGCCCCTACTGTGTATGTTCTATGTCCTTATGGTCCCATTTCTCGAAATAAACTATATATTCATGTCCCTGGCGGTTTGATTCGACATCCATTCTTTCGGACTGGTTGCAAGGGGTGGAAGATAGTTCTTTCAACCCTACTGGAGGTTCACATCTATGCGAACGCATCTCACCGCCTACAGTGGTCCACCGGTCAGTTATAGTTGTTTATTTCTGAAGCCTTTGCCAAACACATAGCCAACCGTGACATATATGTGGTGGGAACTATTATGGGAAAGTCGCACATGGGGCCATCCATGGTTAATGCACATTGGGGCCGCCCTTAGTCAACAAACATAGTTGTTATACGCTTTTATTTATCACCAGAGTCGCCTCGTGTCGGTCCTGCGTTGGTTCGCCTATGTAAGTGGGACATCACCAACACTCATCACAGCTTAGTTCACCACCCCGTTCAAATCGTTCTCGTACGACGCCAGTATATTTAATTCTTGCGCTTATCAGAATTTTGCTCATTCAAGTTGAAAACCGGCCCAGGGCGCGTCCAGTAACCGGATCATTATTTCTGTAAATAAATGAGACAGGTTCCGTGTTCTATATATATATATCATGATGAAGCTCATTAACTCTTTTTGCTACTAGTACATAGTAGTATCGAGGGCAGCTGAAAGGCGACTCTCACGATGATACCCAAGGCTTTTGAGACAGTCTCCTCTGCACACTTGTCTGTAGAGACTACCATCAACATATATCCGCCAGCAAGTGATGCCATAAGACTAAGTCTTGATATCCTTAGTTTTCTGAAGCAGAACGGTTTGGTGAGTACTTTGAATTATCCTGCCTCGGCACTGAATGACTCCGGTTAAATAGGATGCCCGTGAGCTCCTGAAACTTCCTGTTGTTCGTCCACGGGTCGTCGATGACACCCGACCTTTGAGGGATTACTTTGTTTCGTATGTCAATATCAATTCAGCGATGCATACATGCAATGTTACACATTTACCAGCTCTTCGCATAACACGTATCTACTCGCATGGCAAGTCCTCGGTCGTGCATCTTCCGAGTGCTACACACATGTTCTCTCCAAGAACGCACGCTGCGTCGAGATCGATGTTTGGTGGTCTTCCAAGGGTCCGATTGTCACGCATGGACATACGCTCAGTCGAAGCGTCACGTTCAAGGCAGTCTGCGAGGCTATTGATGAAGCCATCCATGACGAAGACTGGCCTGTTACTATCAGTCTAGAGTGCCACGTGCCGATAGCCCACCAAGGCGAACTCGTGGATATCATGAGGGATACATGGGGCAATAAGTTGGTGCAGGAACCATTGGAAGGTGTCGGCAGTGATAGTATATCTCCAAGGGATCTGAAAGGAAAAATCTTACTAATGGTATGTGGACGGTGTCGGTTTAGGTTGTTTCTGACTGTCGTTTTCAGGTGGAGTATTATCCGGACGCATATTGCCAGGAGATCAGTGCAGATGCTGAGGCATCGGATCATGACTCGTGTACTAGCATCGAGTGTGATGAGGTTTCCGAACTTCATTATGAGATCGACCCTGTACTTAAGATGGCGAATCATGCCCATGCAAAGATTGCGGACTCGCTGGCCGACCTGGGTTTCTACGCAAGAAGTATGAAACCGTTAAAACACTGGCTTACTGAAGGTAAGTGCTCACCAGCCGCTTCATTCGTGTTTATATATCTTCCTCTAGAGTTACCAAGTCCCCCATATCCCAAAAATATCCTGATGAACATCAACGAATCGTGCATACTATCTATGCTCCCGCACTCACTGTCAGAGTTGATTGAGCATTCTCTGCATCGAATTCGGCGTATCTACCCTCGTGGTGTACGTTTGAGCTCGAGTAATCTTGACCCGTTGAAACAATGGCGCAACGGCTCCCAGATTGTGTGTCTCAATTGGCAGAACTTCGACTATGGTATGCAGCTTAATGAAGCCATGTTTGCCGGGACTCCTGGCTGGGTCGAGAAGCCAAGCCGTTTGACAGGAGCCGAGCGCAATATGAAGCTGACATGCAACGTTATCGGAATCAGTTCCTGTAAGTCATTTGAGTGGACCCGCAACTTTTTGACAATTGTTCCCCTGTAGTGCCTCGTCCGAAAGAACACACGGAATTCACACCATATGTTCACGCAGAGCTTTTTAATTCTTCGAAGAACCAAGATTGGCAATCCGAACATATCAAGTGCAAAGATGTGCCAGAGGATGGCGTAGACGTCACGTGGAATGGCTGTTTTGAATGGAAACTTGAGGAGGATGACTTGACATTTATCCGGTGAGCGAACGATAATAAAGTAATGTCAACCGGCAAGCTGATGTTGTACAGCCTACGTATCCTTTGCCACAGAAGACTCTTAAGGGATGAGGAAATGTTGGTTTTCTGTGCTCGTCTCCATGACCTTGAGGAGGGCTGGAGGTTCATTCACCTACTATCGATGGATGGCAGACGCACTGGGGCAACGCTGCTAGTTCGATTTACAATCAGTGGAATATAGGGGACAATTAGTAGTATACAGCATAGTACGGCATATATTAAAGTATTCAGCAGGGTGGGGTAACATCAAAAGACGGAATGAATATATCAAGGACGCTAAGAAGAAGCGTCTCATTTAACATCCGACAGGTTACCCCCGGCTGCCCTTTCAATTGCTCCGTACACGTTCTTCAGCTTCTTGTCTCTACCACCATCCTCAGCCCTGGCTCTTCCCTTTCCCCTGCTCCGCGCAGCTTTACCATCCTCGTCATCATCCTCGGCATCATCATCACGACTGCGTTCCACCATAAATTCAGCGATGAATGTAGCAATAGCCTGTTCTCCGATCTCGCTATACGAGCGATGGCCCCAATGCCATTCAAATGCTTGAGTTTCATCTGGATTGGTTTGAGTCGCTGCAGGAGCGCGACTCCGTTTGCCGCCAGCCGCTTTCGTGTCACCCAGCTTGATACGGTCTAGGTATCCTTGCTTCATCAGCTGGCCAAGATATGTGTCTATAGGAAGAGACTTGTGTGTAGACTGGGTGTTCATGGATATGGACTCGTTCGATGCGAGGCCGAGGCGTTTTAAGTGGGCACGTAAATCCACTGAGCGCATATTGCGCGATTTAGTTTGATGAATTACAAGATGAGCTATAGCACGCACAGTCGGTCATGGATCGTCCACTGGCGAGAATTATTGCTAGAATGACATGCAAGACACCCAAGGCACCGACCTGATCTGTAGTGCTCCAAGAGATGATGCATCCGTAGCTTCTCGGCATGTCGTCGTCGTCATCGCCATTTTCTTGGCTGTCAGCAATCTGTTCTTCATACAGCCGTTCATCCGTCCGTGCTGCCTCTTCTATAATGACGGGATCAAGAACAGAACGAAGAATATATGTCTTTGATCCTGCAGCCGCAGCTATGGAGAGAGAGTCATGGCCATTAGGAGACATAGGAGACATGGCTGCAACTTACTTTTCTTTTTTACTCCGGTAGCATTGCGTGCCTCTTGAAGGTCGTCACCAGCTACAACATTATCTTGCTCCCGATAGTTTCGCGACTGAAGTTCTACGAGTTCCATCGCAAAAGTTTTCTTTAGGAGCTTCTGCGCTCTTTCAAACACAGAATTGAATGAACGCGAGTTAGAGGCCAGCACTGATGTTTCTTTTCAGCATTCAAGTGGATGAGCTCTGCAAGTTCGGCGTACCCTTCTTGTTAATATCCTCTCGGCGTATAAGAGTCCGCCTCTGTTCCATAAAAAGAGCGAATCTTACGAGATCACTCGCTTTCCTGTCAAGTTGCTGAAAAGCGAATCAGCGAGCGCTCTCCGATATCAGAGAACCACCACCGGAGCTGCGAGCCACTTACTGCGTCAGCATCATCGAGCCTTGCTTGGCTTCCGTTGATGTCCATGTCTTGGTCATCATCATCTTCCGCATCTTCGTCCTCTTCCTCTTCAACAGGTGCTCTTCTGCTACCTCTAGCAGGACGTTGCGACTGATACTGGGAGGGCTGTGGGGCCCTTTGTGACCTCTGTGTTCTGCTTGGTCCTGCGCGTGCCATTTTGGTTCTGGTTATGAGATGAGCGTGACCGAAAACGCGACGTGTGACATGATGGAAGCGTGACTGTGACCGAGCGCGTTTCACCTGCTTCTTTTACTTAGAACCTCCAGGCTCTCTTCGACGAGCTGTTACAGTTCTACAGGAAGCTGAGAACTCATAGGCTCTTCTGCTGCATGTGTATCATCTTCCTTGAACAAAAGTTTCATATCGATAGTGCTCCGTCGAGTCCGAGTTGTCGCAGGGTCCGGCTAACATAAATATGGCCGTGGATATCCGATGTTTTGGCCCCGGCCGCCATCATACAGCTTTCAGCTATTACGGATCACCAGGTTCGTCAGACCTGTCTGTTGCACTTCCTAAATCCTCCTTTCGTACCACCAACTGTGGCAAACATGATGCTCCGGATCCAGCTTTGTCGAGGCATTAATGCTATCTTGCGAAACGTGGGGCATCCTCTGAATCGAAAATTTACAGACCGTTTGATAACCGCATTTCAAAGCGGCCCTTCCTGCATGCGCCACTGCTTTACAAATTGAATTTTCAAGCACGAATGAACGTAACTAAGATGACATTAACGGCTGTGTGATGTTTGATCCGGGCCTCGCATACTGCTACACCTCAAGCAGATTTCCAATCAGCTTGAGCATGTGCGAGTTTCCAGGCGAATCGCTGGATGAATTGATTGAACACGAGGTCAAGTTCCTCTGCGACTCGTTCGGGATGACATCGATGACGTAGTTGTATCCCGTTGTGGGCGCAACAAAACCTAAAATAGATTCAGATAGGTCCGGGACTTCGCCTAGGCCCCAGTACTAGTCTCCGTTAGAATGTTTCGCGTAAGCATCTCTTCTTCTCCGTCTCTTCACAACTACACACACTTGCACCGTGGGCTAATCATACATCATGGCGTTCTACTTGTGAGCTCTCGCTGTACCAAAAAATGACTAGGATCATAATTGTGTTAATTCCCCCTGTTTTACAGCCATGGACTGCCCATAGGATGGGTGGCCATCATGCTGGCACTCTTGGCGTCAATGGGTGGTTTCATCTTTGGAGTAGGTTTCACGATTACCCTAATCATCTGTACTGACGTGCGGATGTCAGTATGACACTGGTCAGATATCAGATATCCTGTTGATGGATGATTTTCTTCTTCGCTTTGCCACCTGCTCCACACCTGGAGATGTATCGACTTGTTCATTTTCCACCGTACGGGAAGGTCTCATCGTATCTCTTCTCTCCATCGGAACCCTCGTCGGCGCGCTCCTGGGTGCACCGTGAGCAACACGCGATATCTGTCTCTGCATTTCACCAAAATCTCTTTTAGCATTGCCGACTTTCTAGGACGTCGTTATGCCATGTCCGTGGAGTGTGTGGTGTTCACTATCGGAGTCATCATTCAGATAACTTCGAACTACGTCTGGCAACAATTTGCTGTCGGCCGGCTTGTTAGTGGTTTGGGTGTTGGAGCACTTAGTGCTGCCGTCCCGATGGTGATTATTCTGCGACCATTCTTTTTACTCGCATTCTGATTTCCTTAGTATCAAGCCGAGACAGCTCCATCTCAGATCCGTGGTACTTTGACGTATGATATCCACACACCTCTTCAGTGACATACACGGCGCTGACATTCCTTTAGTGCAACTTATCAACTGTTCATCACGTTCGGTATCCTGGTTGCTTGTAAGATTACGATACGAAGTTCCTTGTCAGCTGTTAATTTGCTGTACAGACTGTATCTCGATTGGAACCCGGGACATGTCGAACTCTGCTTCATGGCGCATCGTTGTTGGTATCGGCATCCTGTGGGCACTGATTCTCGGTATTGGCATCCTCTTCATGCCAGAGAGCCCTAGGTCGGTATTGGCAATCGTTCTGGTTTCCTTTTTTTGTCTAATCATCCCTTTAGATGGCTTGCCGCGCATGACAGAATGGAGGACGCTCAGTTTTCTCTCGCGCGTTCTCGCGGTATCCCAAAGGAAGAGGCAAAGAGCCACTACATCATCACTCGCGAGGTCGAGGAAATCAAGTCTTCTGTCGAATACGAAAAGCAGATTCGTGGCGGGTGGATTGACTGCTTTAGGCCACAAAACAAGACACTCTACCGTACTCTTCTTGGAATGAGTCTGCAGAGCCTTCAACAGCTCACTGGGGCCAATTACTTCTTTTACTATGGTGCAACTGTGTTCAAAGCAGTAGGTCTCAGTGACTCGTTTGTGACTCAGATCATCCTTGGCACTGTCAACTTTGTCTGTACGTTCGGCGGAATGTATGTCCTCGAAAGGGTAAGCGACCTAGTTCGTTTATAAGTGGAGAGCGCCGTTTCTCACAGCGCATCTAGTTTGGGCGTCGCAGACCTCTGATCATTGGAGGAATCTGGCAATCAGCATGGCTTTTCGTGTTTGCCGCTGCTGGAACTGCTGTGGATCCTACGACTCATCCTGGCGTTGGGAAATGTGAGATGTCATTCTATCCGCGTATCGTGTCGCTGACTTGGCATCTCAAGTGATGATCGTGTCGGCTTGCATGTTTATCTGGGGTTATGCGATGACCTGGGCTCCGTAAGAATCTGTATACTGGATTTTGTGATCGACTGACGTTCGACAGTGGTGTCTGGATTCTCATTGGAGAAACGTTCCCTACACGAACCCGTGCTAAACAAGGCAGTCTGTCGACCGCGGCAAACTGGATTTGGAATTTCCTATTGGCGTTCTTTACGCCCTTCATCAGTAGTGCCATAAGCTACCGCTACGGTTTTGTCTTTGCAGGTATGGCGCCTTCCATTAACAGTGCAATACGCAACTGAAAATTCTTATTATTCAGCATGCAATTTGTTGGGAGCCGTTGTCGTCTATTTCTTCCTTTACGAATCATCTAATCTCTCACTAGAAAGTGTTAACATGGTAGGTGTCTTTTATTTGCTGGTTTCTCGATCTAAACTTTGATATCAGATGTATACTGACCCTAATTGCAAACCTTGGACTTCCCGCGAATGGGCTCCACCTGGGTATTCCTCGCGCCAGGATCTTATCGATCAAACCAGAGCCGCGGAGGCGCATAAACCCCTTGCGTCTAACACACTCGAGGAAGGCAAGACCGAGGAACCCTCTGAGCCCTCTGTGAACGGATCATAGTCGAGATGAATGACATTGAGCAATTTATATGAGCTACATACTTAGTTTTCTGCGACCCCCATCACATATTTTAATTCCATACTGATTTTGATGCATCTCGATACCGGCGTCCGTTTCCTGACCGTGGTACACGACGCTTGACATGGTGTGGGACCGCCGCTTGGTATCACATGGACTCAAGTAAGCCTAGCCATGGCCGAGGTAAATAACGGACATGCCTCCAGGCACATCATTCGGTTAGAGCGAGCATTGCACTGATCAGACACTTGTTGGTTTTGTAGTTCCTCGACAGTCTCCATGCTTGGAAATACGTCTGACAATTCCAAATCATAAATGCATGGATCGGTATATATTAGGAAATTGTCAAGCGCTCATCGTACGTACTTGTACAGGCCAATCTAGGCCTTTACTTTGCCAGATTCAAAAAGTTTACCTCCTTGACGTACACTCCAGTGACGGCCGATAGAGTATAAAGGTAACCGCGGTAATAATTTTTCTTTTATCATTTACTTCGTCACTCATTTGTCCCAACCCACCCCCACAAATTCAAACATGTTCGCTCTTTCTCTCCCCCTCGTCTCTCTTCTCGCATTCGTCGTAGGAACCAGCGCTGTACCCACCCTATCTGCTCGTGACAACAGCACTTGCAGCAGTACGGGTGCGCAGTGCGACACCGGCACCGTCTCCTGTTGTGATACCACATATGAGGTGCGCAGTTCCTTTGTAACCTAGTCCTAGATCATATCTGACTCCTGATTAGTCCAACAGCCATGAGTTGAGCAGGATCCTAAGCGTACTGAACATTGCCCTTGACCCCGTCGAGGGCAACGTTGGAATGGGTTGCAGTCCCATCAGCGTCATTGGTACTGGTAGCGGCGCGGAGTGTAACCAGGAGCCCGTGTGCTGCAGTGGCAACACATACGTGAGTGGTTTGCTGCTCCCGCATCAGTATGCACCCTGACCGACTAAATTTGTGTCTAGTACGGCCTCATCAACATTGGTTGCTCACCGATCAACATTTACCTGTGACCATGATACCCGAATCCCTCGCCAAGAGTGATTTATTCCACTGTCGTTGACTCTTTGTGGCGTTCGGCCGAACTCATGTTCTATCGTAATTGAGGTCCCTTTGCAAATTGCGCGGTGTTACGTCCCACCACAGCTACTGTAATAAAATCGAAGGATGTAACCAACGAGTGTTCAGATGTGATTCGGAGGAAGATACCAGCCAAGTAAAATGCATGCGGCGTGAATGTGTTACATTATGCTACTGCATCGATCGATATGGTAAGCCTCGAATAAACGGGGGCGCCAGTTTGGATTCCTCGCAAGGGCAAAGACCAGTCCGAGATAGCACGAATCACCGGTCAGGATCTTCATCGCCGAATGTAGCACCCAGTCATGGACAAACCGCAGTCAGGATATATAGCAGGGGGAGAGCTTGGCCAAGAACCATATTTCCATTATCAACGGCATCGATGGAGGCCAATCATGATGTTCCAGGAAATCTGAGCAGTGCGAGATATCAAGACTTAGTCTTATGACATCACTTGCTGGCGGATATATGTTGATGGTAGTCTCGAAAGACAAGTGTGCAGAGGGGACTGTTTCAAAAGCCTTGGGTATCATCGTGAGAGTCCCCTTTCAGCTGCCCTCGATACTAGTATCAGATAAACAGTCTTTCGATGTGGTGAATATTACTAGCAGCAAAAAAAGTTAATGAGCCTCCATGATATATATATAGAACAGACGCACCCTGGGCCGGTTTTCAATGAGCAAATTTCTGATACTTAAGCTTAAGCGCACATATTGGCATCGTACGAGAATTTGAACGCGGTTGTGAACCAAGTCGTGATGAGTGTTAGTGATGAGTCCCATTTACTTACATAGGCGAACAAACGCAGGGCCGACACAAGGATACATAAAAGCGTATAACAGCTACAATTGACCAGTGGACCACTGTAGATATGTGAGCTCCAGTAGGGTTGGAAGAACTATCTTTCACCCCTTGCAACCAGTCCAAAACATGGATCTCGAATCAAACTGCCAGGGACATGAATATATAATTTATTTCGAGAAATGGGACCATAAGGACATAGAACATACACAGTAGGGGCACATCGGACAGTCCGCAGACAGTGAAACAAAGTGTTTGTAGGATGATAGGAACCAGTAAAAAGTTGTCATGAACACTAGTTCCGTAATTGCTGTGGTTAGACCCTTATAAGGACCGCACACTCGAAGCAAAGAGACCACACAAAGATGCCTGGAGATATTTCCTGCAGAATCCATGCTCTGAGGAATGAGAGGCAGAGCGAGTATGGGTGATCTGTGAGAGCTTCCAATGCTTTCCACGTCGTCGTTAATCGAGACGGAGCTGGAACAGCCTTGGAACTGAGGAACAGTCATATCTCGGGTGTATTGGTCAGTAGTCAACATCCATAAGTTAAAGTGAACACACCTTGTACTCAAAGATGCCACATAATCAGGATTATGGGTCTGGTTCTAGTTTCTCGCCTCGAGCAAGAATGCGGACGACCTTGCTAGGCTGAGAGATCACTTCCATCATTGCATGACGGCAGCAGGGCGTTCCACTAGCCCGGTGCCTCGAGCGACAGGAAGACCCCCCTGAGCGGTATGGGAACTACGTCTACCTCGACCGGCCTGTCGTTTTCCTCTGTCGTCATCATCAAGATTACGAGGGTGGTTCGATGAAGGGGGAATAAGTGGCGCTGCGGAAGGTTCCACTTCTAAAAGAGTGATACCAGCCCGGGTAGCCCAGTGTCCAATCAACAGGCCAGCTGAACGAGGCTCATACTTGTGAGTGTGTGGATTCGGAGCTGGAAGGGGTACTGGAGATGATACTTCGGGCATTGCCTCGGTTCGACAGACCTGAGCTGGAGCAGTAGAAGGGGAAAGGACAGTAAGAACGACTTTCAGTTTGTCGCACGAGTTTCAGCGACGTGATCAACTTCCCAACATGCGCAACAAATCATGCGCCGAACCCACTCTGGAGAACCAGAGAGGTGCAGCGACTGTAACGTAGCCTTGTCCTTAGCATCACCGAGTGACAAGTCCTTGAACTCGATGCGGTCACACGGAATGAAGGCATCATCCCGCTGGACACGGATACGAGGATTTGTGCCAACTTGAGCCTCTAAAATTCGTGAAGCTGACCGCGCGCGCTGGGCGAGAGGACTTGTTCCCTTCTTGAGTAAATCAAGAGTATTCAAGGCTAAGCCACCTCACATCAGATGACAAAACACTTCTAGCGTCCCGACTGACCTTCAAGGGGTACAATAACGATTTCATCACGTCCATCTCTGCACCATTTCTTCACCTGGTGGAGGGCGTGTACCAATACGCTCGCATCGACCACTACTATATCAGCGTCCTTGTCACCCCTCGCCTCCTGGCTCGATTTCCTGGGCTTTTGCACCTTGGCCTCACTGTGCTCTCTTTCAGGTACAACTTCAACGACAGACTTCTTCGCATACCTATTGCCTGAAGATGGGCGCTACTTGGGTGTATAGTTGATAACACCGCGACGGTTGGTATTACCCAAGTCGGCTTGCGGATGACGACGGTCTCTCCAGTTTCCAGATGCTGGCCCCCGTGTAACCAATTTTTCCATGCGCGCGCCAGTGGCCGCGTCTGACAAGGCTCGTCAATATTTGACGCGTCACATGCGTGTCACGCCGCGTCATACGCCCACTTACTCAGCATGAATCTGATGCCATTCTACAGCTAATTCGATTTGGTCTGCCCAGGGAAGACTTCCCTTTCACCAGCATGAGCGCCGGTCAACCGGCGAAAAGAAAACCACATGTTATCATCACGATCGGGATGGCGGGGGCTGGCAAGTCCACCTTCGTGCAGCGCATTACCTCCTACCTCCACTCGCAAAATCCTCCACAACCACCATACATCCTAAATCTTGACCCAGCGGTTACTCATGTGCCATTCGAGGCCAATATTGATATCCGGGATACCGTCAATTACAAAGAAGTAATGAAACAGTATGTTGCTGTCTCCGAATCTGAGCGGTAGTGCATGACTGTGACTAACGGCATCAACACAAGGTATAACCTAGGACCGAACGGTGGCATCTTGACTGCCTTGAATCTTTTTACGACGAAATTTGACCAGGTTCTGGACTTGGTCGAGAAAAGGGCTGAGACAGTCGAGTACGTGCTTGTCATTTTTATTTTGTATTCGCTCTTACGTGCACTCACGCAGTCACATAATTCTTGACACTCCGGGGCAAATTGAGATTTTTACGTGGTCAGCCTCTGGTGCTATTATCACGGATGCCGTTGCTTCCTCGTTTCCCACTGTAGTGGCGTACATAATCGACACCCCACGGACGACAGCTCCAGCGACATTCATGTCCAACATGCTGTATGCCTGCAGGTGAGTACTGCGTGGTCTAGCGACTTACTGATCCGTGACGCTTTATTAGTATTATGTACAAGACAAAATTACCATTCATCCTGGTCTTTAACAAGACGGACGCACAACCTCACGATTTTGCTATCGAATGGATGCAAGATTTTGAGGCATTTCAAGTCGCTCTTGCGTCCCATTCAGGATCGAGGGACTCTGAAGGTGAACCGACTTATATGAACAGCTTGATGAATAGCATGAGTCTCGTTTTGGATGAATTCTACAAACATTTGAAGGTAGTTATATCTCATCATGTTGTAGAATGCATATCTGACTATTACAGGCTGTCGGCGTCTCAAGTACGACAGGTGCCGGTATCAAGGAATTTTTCGATGCGGTGGAGGAGTCTCGTGAAACATATAGGACGTACGTTTTATCTTCATTGTTATTACACGTTCTCCTTATTTTTTCCATCTCTGCAGTGAATATCTCCCAGAACTTGAACGCGCCCGCGCCGCACGGGAAAAATCACTGCAGGATATAAAAGAGGACTCAATAAATCGGCTGATGAAAGATCTTGCCGTTGATCGTGCGGCAAATCCCAAGGCAGCCGCAGAAGACCGCTGGGCGTCGGATGAGGAGGATGTCGATGATGACGAAGAGCTGGAAGTCAACCTGATCGATCGGAGTGAGTGACTTGCCAGTCCTTTCGTTCGACTTCTGAAACATTTTTACTAGGTGAAGAACCATATCCTGGCCAATACATCGACGTCACGCGTATGCGAGGACACAGTGAGAACATAAATTGGCCGAACCCGGGATGAAATTCGTCATTGGATACACGTTCCATTCAACGTTGACATGATGTACCCTACCATTGGTAAGTAGAAGGAGAACTCCGTAATATTTACATTACTAAGTACTGTCAATTTCGTGCACAGCACTGATAAGCATTATCAAATAAACGTGTCAACATTACAACAGGCAAGATGAAAGAATGATGGCTCACCAACTTCGATTGCATGAATTATTCGGCATGATGATATTGTGACAATTGTCACATTGACGCATCTTCACTCTCTCGTTTATAACTGAAACACCTCTTCCTTGTTGTGTCGCTGTTCCACCGAGTGATTCCGCTGGTGAATGGAGGACGCGTGGCAAGAGCATTGATAAATTGAATGTTACCCTGCGCTCACCATGAACTTTATAGCGCTGCGGTGAAGCGATGACGATGGTGTCACAGGCAAAATCTGAGTTCATGGGAAGGTGACTCTATTGTTAAGCCTTGACAACCAAGTGGCAGTGACCATGAATGCTTGCTGATATTATTCCAGCACTCGAGAGCTCCGGTCCGACGGTGTTCCTTTGGAACATACGGTCTCTGCCGATGTGTAGAAAAGTGTGAGCGCCTTCATAGCAAGTACGAAAGATAGTAGAATTTAGAATTAAATCCTGAGGCCAGAGGACCCAGGTTGATGGAATATGTAGTACTTACATTAATATTGTCGAGCAGGAAATAAGACGGTTGTTGCAATGAATGTTTCGCGGTGAGAGTGACAGCAGTGGCGGTGGTCGCATTTTGCCGAAGGGCTCTTTATATGACCTTGACCGGCCAAGTGAATATCCCTTGGCACGTATCTCCACTTCATTCCATTGTCACGCCTCTCTCCAAGGGCTAGTTACGACCGCCGAGCATTTCGAATCTCGCCAACTTCAAATTATCAGCTCGTGTAACGACGAGTCGGCGAGCTCGCCTTTACTTGTTTTCCGTATCACCCGACAGGTTTCATCCAGATTGACTTGTAGACACCATTTCCCTCTCATCCACGCGATAGCCTTTCCATTGATACCGATATTCGCTTTTTCCAGTTAACCGGCATTTTACAGCTTGTGCGCTCTTTTGACCCATGGATCGGTGCGCATCTCGTTTCTCACTCAATGGTTGACAAAATCAATTGATTTTGCTGAATTGTAGCTATGCAAAAATAGAGAAAGTTGGTGCGTGCCTGTCATGTGTTCACATCAGACTACAATGAACTGGTGTGGCACACGTTGTAGGAGAAGGTGCAGTTGCACTCCGCTCACTTTCATTGTTTATCGCTGACGCGCATTCAGGCACATATGGGGTTGTTTATAAAGCGCGGGACGTTACAACGAATCAGATTGTAGCCCTTAAGAAAATTCGACTGGAAGCAGAAGACGAAGGCGTTCCGAGCACTGCCATCCGAGAAATCAGTCTGTTAAAGGAACTCAAGGATGACAATATCGTTAGGTATAACGTCTTAAATTATGTCAACCGCTCCTCATGGCTAATTGTCTGTGTTAGATTGCTTGATATCGTGCACGCCGAACAGAAGCTTTATCTCGTCTTTGAATTCTTGGATGTTGACTTGAAGCGCTATATGGAGAACGCCAACACATCTGGTACGCCCATTTCCATCGGCATAGTCAAAGTGAGTCAGCTTGGCATTTCAAATGGCTTCTTATCGGTCCCTTGCCCATCATTTACGATTCCTGACGCGTGGTGGACGCGTGTTTCGCGCTTCGGCGCGTAGTCTGCAAAGGCGTCAAACAGCTGCTGCGCCCGTAGCGTTTTCGCTAGCGCGAGGCACCGCCCATGCTATTTTTGTACGTTTAGCCTTACACCACCATGCACACTTTCAGATTGGCATCGTCACATTGATTGTGATAGGGGATATTAAGTGATGTGATGCGAGGGCGGGGACGCGAAGCGATCGTCACGTGATTCGGCAATTTGACTAACCGTGTTCCTATCACATTATAGCGATTTACTCATCAGCTCAATGCGGGCCTTTTGTACTGTCATTCGCATAGAATCTTACATCGCGACCTGAAGCCTCAAAATCTGCTTATCGACAAGAAAAACAATCTCAAACTCGCAGATTTTGGCCTCGCGAGAGCTTTCGGCATTCCAATGAGGACATATACCCACGAGGTAATGAGCACCCCTAAAGTTTCCTTCTTACGTCGTGGGCTGAACGTTTGCGCTGTCATTCTAGGTCGTAACTTTGTGGTACCGCGCGCCTGAAGTATTACTTGGTTCTCGGCACTACTCGACAGCTATTGACATGTGGTCTGTTGGGTGCATCTTTGCTGAGATGGTTATGCGTGGGAGTCCTCTGTTTCCCGGGGACTCTGAGATTGACCAGATCTTCAAGATCTTCAGGTAATGCACAATCGGATTGGTTGGTCAGAATAACTGACAATTGACTGTTTGATCCAGGATCCTCGGCACTCCAAGCGAAGAGACTTGGCCAGGTGTGACTCAATTACCTGATTACAAGGATACATTCCCTCGATGGTCGAAGCAGGAGCTCAAGAGTGTCGTACCTAATCTTGATGAACAAGGTTTGGATCTGCTTGCGGTATGTCGTCTTGTTGATTTATTCGTACTACCGCATTCCCGTTTTTTTTTCCGTTGACCTTTGCCTGGTACTCACTTTTTTTTCGTAGCATACTTTGACATATGACACAGCAAAACGGATTTCTGGTATGTGTGCAGCGGGCTTGCTCATGCTTCTGATGTCTCACCTACTTTCAGCAAAACGTGCTCTCAACCACCCTTATTTCGCGCACTACACACCGTCATGACAAGTTCTTCGCATCTGAGTAGATCGCATACATAATTGATATATTCCACTTCCTTGTTACCCTTCAGGCTGTCGTGTTTCCATATTTCGTATCACAGTCAGAGTAGCCTAAAATACGTCGAATGTGATAGTATGTGCATCGTTCGGAAGGCCCTCGGTGGGAATCCGGACAGGTATCTCGAAAAGGAATTCTCGGTCCGATATTATTAACGTCAAGGCGATAAAGCACGGCCTTGAGGACAGCACCAAGTCCCTCCCCACTCGCTTTCATTCCTACCGCCACCAACGCACAGACCGTTCCCTTCTCCTCCATTTTTTTAGATTTTTCTGTACACTGTAATCGACGGTCATCATGGACGACGAAGTCGAGTATTTGGGCACCAATTTTGCTCAGCCAGCTGCTTGCCCCTGTGATCCACAGCAACCGGTGACGGGTAAGCACCGTCGTTTTTTACTTGAACAACACCTTCCAGACATGTTATCACCAAGGTATCACTCTGCACGTCGAGTCGTGTGGTGGAAAGCCTGCTCATAATGTTTCCTTCTTCAACTCCCGCACCTCCCATGTTCACATCGGTCGCAAATCAATCTCAGATGATAGGTCAATGAGGAAAGAGAACGACGATCAGAATGCTGTATTTGCATGCCCCGTAGTCAGCGCAAAGCACGCCAAACTTGTGTTGGCCTCCAGCGGCCACGTAGGCACATGCTGATTCTGTCACATCGGACTTGCACCTGACAACCTGTCCCAGGTGTATATTGTTGATCTCAAGTCCCGTCATGGGACACATCTACGGAAGCAAGGCGAAACAACATCTAGGATGTTGCAGCCTGAGGTGGAGACCTCCCTTACTGATGGCGACATCGTGACGTTTGGTAAAGCTGTGGGGCAAGGCGCTACCCTCGTTTCACCGGTCACAGTTCGCATCGAATTTTTGCGCGATATTTTAGATATGCGCGATTCGCCTCCGTGGTGTCTCACCCTTGTAGAGCCCTCAAGTCCTCGCCCACGAAAATTAAGCACCGGGCGCTATGGCCTTAACAGTCCTATTTCATATCCTTCTTCCCCATCTCATTCTTCAGAGTCCCTTTCATCTCCATCGGGCTCATCCAACGAGGCTGCTTCACACTCGGAGCATGAATCTGATATAGAAGAGATACCGTCTTGGGAAGAACTTCGTTCCTGTGTTTCATCCCTGCGTCAAGACTTCCACGCAGACTTTTTGGGCGGTTCATCACTCGGGAAGATGCCATCGCTTGGGTCGTTGATGCAGGATATCTGCCATAAGATCGCGGACCCACTTGACATAGATTCTCCCCACCCTTGGTCTCCTCCGGCCATTGCAACCATTGCGTCCATTGATGACGATGATGCGCCTTCGTCCATTATCCACCTTGAGGATTCACGGTCTCATTCTCCCATGGAGCTTTCCACTCCATCTCCATCGCCCCCTCAGGCCCCCGAGGAGCCGGAAGTCGGTGAATGGACACCGTCCCGGGCTGACTCCCTGCAGCCCGCTTTACATCGGTCGGATGAGTCGAGCAGAGTCAAACTTCCATCGATGTGCTCATTTGGGCACATGGGATCCCTCGATTCGGGATCTTTTGAGAGCTTCCCAGAACGGCTTCCCTCGCTTTCTAGTTTCTCGCCGTTTGTGCCGCTGGAGGCTGAACCGGCCACCCTGGCACCCATTCCTGTTCTCCCCTCTATTACTGAGGTGGGGTCGGATGAATCCCAGATTTCCAGCCATGATGACAATAGAGATCTGCGCGATGCCATAAAGACTATCGAGGCAAGTATATGTTTGGGGATTTTTATCACTTTAAATTTCAACTTTGCCTACTAGGGTCGAGTAAATGTGCTGCATTCCAGTGTTACTGATATCAAGAATCGCCATGCCATGTCAGAGGACGACCTTTATGACCTTCAGCATCAAGTTGACATGCTCGAGCCTGAATCTGACCAACTTTTTGCACGCTTGGAGGCTGCAGAAGACAAGCTATCCACTTTGTCAGACCTGCAAGATCAAGTCTCTGAGTTACAATCCAAGGCCGACGCAGAAAGCTGTGACGCCTTCGTGCCACCCGTGGCAGATGTTAAGGCTTGTGCCGACGCTCTCAATGCCCTCGTCATTGGTTGGTAGTGGTGTTCTCGTCACTGTTTCATTCGTCTGATCAAATGCCGCAGAAATGAAGACCTTACGCGAAGAAACTGAAAAACGCGTGGAGGAGAGGATTCAGACAATTCAGGAGGCTAGGACGGAGGCGCTGTCTGTTATCGCTGCAGAAGTAGAGGTAACGTACTTTCTTACACTTCCTTCATCGCTCTCATACTCTTGCAGACATTCAAATCGCTTAAACGCAAGCATTCTGAGATTGAAATCGAGGTCGCTCCTCCAGTCAAGATGGATATCGTTGTGGAAGAACCAGCGGCGGCTACGAAACCTGAATTACCGGTCGAAGGTTACAGGCATATCAAACGGCCTAGGAGGATAATGACATCCATCGCGCATACCGCCACGGCCATGGCAGTTGGTGCAGTTGCAACTTGGTCTGCGCTCGCCTTCTCGTAAATTTCAGAAGAATTCTGATATTGCAATTGCTAAAATGCATAATTGGTTCTTGGTTTGTACCACCACTGTTCATGTTGTAGGAACTTCGTTGTATTTTCCTTCGTACGATGTACGTTATTTTAGGTTTCTGTACGGATTACATGTTGTATCAGGTTCCCTATGAGCATTATTTGAACCCTCCTCAGTCCAGTTTTTGGCCGATCCTGATTGATGTGAATAAACATATAGAGAACGTATAGAGTGATAATAAGCAATACAGAGATATGCAATAACATCATTCATAAAGGACAATTAAGAAAGAAGCCTATCATCTGGGACTGCCAAACTTGGTCCGTATATCCCTAGTAAGAGCACGAAGCATAGCGGATGTAACCACTGTAGACTTGTCCTCAGGAGGTAAAGATGTGGTGGTGCTGAACGAGGGCGACGTGTAGGCAGGACTAGTGATGCTCAGTGGAGGACTTCCACCCTCGCTAGATCCATCAGAGGCGGATAATCTCCTCCGCTTGGCAGGGGTAGAAGACCTACGGATGGCAATCAGTCAAGTTAGAACATTTTCATCATCAATGACGGACCGGCTGGATGACGCATTGATCGATGCAGTGCGTTTATACGTCTGTCGCAGCTTGGCAGAACGAAGGGCATTGAGCTCATCCGAGTAAGAGCCCTGCTCAGTTGAGATTTTCAATGTCGCTGCATCGAGACGAGTCTTCCGTATGAGGGTGGGGTTTGCAGTTTTGGGGCTCAAGTGTTGAGTGGACAGCTCCTGAGCGACGTCATATATATATTGAACAAAAGTCCTCGAGGGAAATTCTACAGCAAACAAGTTTGAGTTGCGCACACAATCCATGTAGAACTGACATACCTCGGTCAAGGGTCTGGTGCGATCTCAGATCACCTGCGAGGTGTCTACCAGGATCTTGCAACAATGGATTGTCCAACCATTGCAAAACCGCATCAAACATTGAGCTGTCAAGGAATAAGCAAGGGAAAGGCGCGGGGTGGAAACATGACGTACTCCGAGTCTCTTACATGTTGTAGCTTCAGGTTGGGCAGAATATTTTCAAAGATGGTAGTACTGCCACCCATCAGTTGAAGTGCAGCACTAGAGATTGTTATGAGAACATCGATGCACAATTCTAAGAATCTCCCGAGGAAACCCCAGTCAACTGGCAATCGTTGTCAGTACTGGACATTCAGCAGTACCAATATTTGCCCTACATTCTCCATCGACTATGCATTGCTCTAATCGCTGGGAGGTAAATGTCTGCCATATGGGTTTCCACAGTCTGAAGAGGTCTGTTCCAAAATTAGATGCTAAACTTTGAGAAGTATATCGCAAACTCCAACATACCTGGTACAGACATCCACCGTACGAGTTTGCCTTCAGTATCAACTTTGAGTGACTGCAATGCGGACTGAAACCTAGAGTCAAGGTCCGAGGCGGTGGATGTTAATGATAGGTCAACATGGGAAGACGAGATTTCATCATGAAGTATTGCAGCAATCTTCAAAATGTTCAGTGGTTACTCATTTTCAGAACGTTGGGTGTACCATATCATTAAAATCAGAAGAAGAGTCGGGCTCCTCGCCAGACCAAGATATCGTCATGAGGGAAGGAATGAAATGCCGATCAGGGGGCAATGACTCGATGATATCTCGTAAACGTGAGCAATCATCCAGCATCCGATATTTTCTACCATGCATAAGTTAGCAATTCGTATTAAGCAACTCATCACAACCAACCTTTCCAGGGGGTCTTCGACCTCGCCAACCGGGGTTCGCTCGAAAATGATGATACCCGGGTATAATGCTTTATTGCTGTGTGGCTGCGGCACCACCGGTATCTGGAATATATTGGCATCCTTCCAGTTGCCAGAGTCAGGTACATCAAATTTCAGTTCAAGCCAAATGGCAGTTCCATCATTATCCTGGTTCAAGGACAGCCAGGCAGACCAGCTTTCTGGAATGGTGCGTGACGTGGCCTTCAGGTGTTGCTGCAGGATATGGAAGAAAGATCCACGAGCCCAACGCCGTTCGTTTTCTTCACGATTCTAAGACCACAATGCATTCAAAAGGTGTGGTATACTTGATACGGACAATGTACCGACCTTTTCGAACCGCTTGAGAAGTTCTTCATCGCTGGGCGGTGGCCGGTATTCGCTGGACAAGCGATGTCTGAGCCGCTTCCTAACGGGACTTGGTCGTTCTGGTGCAACCACTTTGCGCTTGTTCTCTTGCGGTAACGAGCTAGTACTCTTCGAAAGTCGCTCCGTATGTACGCGCTGACTATAGGCCTCACTTCGGAGACAAGCCTCTTTCCACTTGGTACGATTAGCCGTTCGTTCCCTCCAATCCTGGAAGGCCTCCTTGATTACCAAGTTCCTTCGGGCAAATGCTAAAGCTCTGGATTCGAGCGTTTCTTGGTCCACGTTGCTAGTGGATGACAGAGCTGGTGCTTTACCGTTGAGTGGGCTTTCCAGTTTGCTTGAAACCGCCTCAAGATCGGCAGCGGTTATTCCTGAACGCAAGGGAGTTTGTACGGAGTCACGTCGGTGTAGGCTGGCCATAGAACTAAGCGTAGATCTTGTCCCAGGCGATGAAAGCACCAGTGGGCTCAGAATTTCAGTAGGGGAAGCAGTAAGGAGAGTAGGTTGAAGTTTTTTGAGAGACTGGAAAACGGACTTAGTGGATGTGCCAGAGATGGTCGAAGGGATATACATCGTCGCAGTGGGTGTTGACGGTAAAGATATTGGCTGCTGTCTACTCAAAGGTGGTGGTTGAGAAGGTGGTATTTGATCTAAGCTGCCGAAAGGATTATGACGAACATCGAAAGTTGGTTGTGAAGTGACGGGAGAGGGAGGAGCTGGAAGTTCGTATGAGGGTGTAGGTTGTGTGACAATTGGAGAAAGCACTGGTGCAAATACTGGTGCATGGGGGTTGAGAGGTTGTGCCTTGTTGACCTCGGGTATGAAAGAAAGTTTTTGGAAAGGGGGTAAGGGTTGACTAGAGGTAGAGGGAGGAGGTGCCGGAGGCACTGTAAATGGAATCTGAACCTCGCTGGGCACTGTTGAGGTCGGAGACAAGACAAGTGGAGGTTGACTAAAAACTGGAGGTTGACCTAAGTTGAAGGTGTGATCAATAAACAAGCAATCGGAAACGAGTTGCCCACAAACCCGAAGAGGGTGCTTCACTAAAACTAGAGGTCCGAGTTGCAGAGGATCCAAATACTGATGTAGAGACGGCAGCTGAGCTAAAACCAAACTCGTTTGTGGAGCCGAATGCTGATGGCTGGAATGTCGTCGTCCCAAATACATTGGGAACGGATGTCAGATTTGAAAACGCAGACTTTGGTGATTGTGATGCAGGTTGAGAAGAAGGGTTTAGGAATGCTGATTCAATGGGTTTCGGACCAAATGTATCGTTGAGCCACTCGGTCCCGCTTCGCTGCGGGGCCTTCGGGGAAGATTGCGGTGCATCCACCAAGTCAGTCTCGAAGAGTGGCTCCTCTTCCTCGTGCATAGCGTCCGGTTCTTCTACAATAGCGTCATGCTGCTCATCTACAACAGCAGAGCTGCCATCGATTATATCCGAAAGGGTGAGACTTTCCCGCAGGCTTTCAATGTCGTCGACGGTGTCGGTGCCAAATAAGTGTTCTATGATGCATGCGACCAGATATATCATGGCATAGTTTCCTTCCCCCTGAAGGACTATGATCAATTCGTTGAAAACCCCAAGCGCCTCGTTATCGACGGAAAGAGGAGAACTTCTGCCAATGGGGGCGCTCTTCGCCTGTACGAGTAGCCGGAATTTGGTCGTGAGCTTGAACACCGGATGCTCGAGGATAAAGGAAGGAATATCCTCCTGCCGCTCTTTTTGATCACGAATATGGATTAGACGATGATAGACTCGCATTTCGAGCTCGGTTGGTGATTGATATTTTCCTCGCTGCTCTTCGTAAAACTCCTTCAGACTTTGAAGAGCTGCGAGTACGATTATTATTAAGAAGGCTCGTCAAGTGGCGAGTCCACGCACTGTACTTCAGCTGTTGTTCCTCCAGACTGACTTGGGATCCGGGTCGGTCGCGCTCCAGATGAAGACCAAGGATGTGAAACCGTGCACATCTATCATGGCACTCAATTGCGATGGAACCCATTTCATGCTGCATCGTGAAGTCACTTCGTACAGCACGTGAACGATCACGAATGAAATTGAAGGTTGCAGAAAAGCCGCCTCGGGGAAGCAAGTCGTGAAAAAGATAGTCGAGTGTGCGCTGCAATAGATTGGATTAAATTATGCATAGGATAGTATATCGGAGCAACATACTCTAAGAACTTTTGGAGGACGAAGATCGGAGGGTAATGTCTTGTCACCAGCTGCCCGTTCATACATTTTGACAGCTCTCTTATGATCAACGCGTTTGGTTCCTGGGACCTGACGAGTAATCAGCGAGTACATCTAGCACACTTACGAATTGAATGTCCTCATACAATTTCCCACTCAAAGAGATTGTTCTCGCGTTCACGGCGGTAGCGTTCGAATGTCGGGCACATATCCATGCATGTGCCGACCATTGTGATAGCGTCTTCCAAACGTTTTGCGACATTTGGGTCGTCCATTTTACCCTCTGCAATAGCTGTCTTGCGCTCGATCTCGCGCGCTTTCACAAGCTGCAGACTCGAGTAAAGGTAATATACATCGAATGAGACGTATGACGCACCTCTTTCCAGAATCGTTCCCTTTCCTCGAGAGTATCTGGCTCGTGGTGTTCCACTTCATCTACATCTACATCAGTGGCATCCTCCATTTCGCTATTATCCCCTTCGCTGGCAGCAGCTGACCCAGCGCCTCCTTGACGGAAAGTCAGGGTAGCATTAGGAAATTTGCCACGGGTGCCTCTTCCTCGACCCCTACTTCCTCTATGCCCTCCACGATCCCACCGTTCGGTATCTGCGCCTCCATGAGATGTGCTATTTCTGTTGGTAGCATTGTCCGCGACCCATTGCTTGTGTTTGTGGTGTGCTCTTCGTCCTGTTCCGGAGTTGTCATGGTGGGCACCGTTTGCGCGTGCTCTCTGTGTTCGGAAGTGGGTGGTGGACTCCATGTTGCCGACTGCAACGGTGGTCACACTCGGTCTTGACAAAGTAATCGCACCTTGTCTTGTGACGATGTTTGATGATGTTTATTTCCAAAGGCCTTGAACAATAGAGCCAAATAATGCCTGAGAACCTTCTATATATAAGTAAGCGATGATCGGCTACTAGTAGAACCTTACTCACACTACTATGTCTGATGCTCTAGGGACGTGTTGCGCGCTCGGACTCACTGCGTGCTGCGACGTCATGACTGGAATATGTCTTGATTTTATGTCCATACGTAAGCACCGTGATTTCTCAAGCATCGTTTAATGCCATTCTGCACTGGCAGGACATCCATGCACAGAGCACCTCTGCAGCTGCCAGTGCTGCTCATGCAGAAATCCCGTCGATGACACCACATCTGACGTTGAAAGAGCGCCTCTCATAGTTAAGAGCAGACAACCTAGTCCCCATCCACCGATGCATAGCGCTGAATGCTCGTAATCTTAGGCGCGCATTCCCGTTGGTGCTGTACCAACTAGTAGCTAGTAAGTGGTGCCCTTCTCAAGACATAGATAAAGCTAAACCAGTGATTATTTTTAGAGTGACTAATTTTGTATCATCACTGTATCTCATACCACAAGAGATTATTACTTCCCGGGCAACTACCAGTGACAGGTATAATGGACAGTTCCACTTAAATGAAGGAATATTTATAAAACGAGCGAAACGGAATGAGCGAAATGAGTTTAACTCGAGAATAAATAGGGTATAATCGAACCAAGTCCAAACAGAACGACTGTCCAAAAAGAAGGATATAACGAAGGAGTTGGTTTAAACACCTGGTGTAGTAAAGTCAGGGTAATCAGGCCAGTTGCCCAGTTTTGCAGGGTCACCTCCTATGCGGACCCAAGCAGAGTGCGAAGGCGTCGGACCGTCCAGAACGAAAAGCTGGTGCCATCCAGGTGGACTTACATACGCATTCGGGGGCGCCGTGATGGTACAAGTGTTCCCAGAGCACGAAAACGCAGGGAAGATAATCCTCCCACCGCTCATGACGTTTCCGTGCGTGCTAGACGATGCTATATTTCATAATCAGAAACTGATACATCCATAATCACTAGCCTTGCTTACCTGCCACAAGTGAGACGCGTATGGTACCCGTTGTTCCCTGGAACAAAGTCACCGTAATACTATACTGTCCGCCCAACTCCCAGTCAGTCTCAGTAATAGTAAACTCCGGTTGCGTGAGACCTTGATTGAGGTATGGTGGAATATAAACCTCAATGCGCATCTCCTCTGGGTACACATAGGATCCGTTGGGATAGTACGTCTGTGGGTCTGAACCAGACACCAAAACACGCCCGTCAGGCAAAAGGGTTGCTTCGGAGTGATACAAGCGGGCTACAATGGTATTGTTGAGGATAGAGATACGCTGGCCAATCGGCTGCGAAGGATCGTATAAAATTGCGCTAAAATTAGGATCTGTAGCAAGGCCAAAGCCAGCAACACCTTGATGAGCGCCGTTCATGATCAGGTACGTGCCATCTGTGATTGACGTATTATTAAAACCAGACTCCTGTCATTCGTCATCATATTTACCTGGCAGAGTTGTGATACAAGGCATGACCCGTTTGGAAGGCTAAAGTTCGCACATCTCAGCATCAAACCTTAACTTTCCCAAACTCAAATCGGCTTACCATACGTTCCAGCGTCCATGTCGCATTTGGTACTTCGGGGGCAATTGAGATACAGTTGTCCAGTGCAATAGCGGCTCCGATCGTCGAGCCACCGCAGATAAGAACCTCGATCGGATCGGTGTATGGAGCGTACTGCGGCAAAAGTACCGCAGACCCTTCCATCGGGTACGTCCGGCCTGCGAGGAAATTGTTCACGGCTCCTGGCATATTTGGCAGCACGGTCACTGTGTCAAAGGTGACAGGATCAAGAATGCGAGCCTCATTGTAGTAACCTTGTTACGTTTTGTAAGAAAGAGTGCATCTCGCCCATAATGTCACGCACCAATGAAGAATCGACCACTGGGCAGCACCATCAGGAATGGATAGAGATTGTATGGATCTGTCCGCTGAAGATAGTCCAATGTAACGACCGTATCGCCACCAAGAGGCGCTGGAAGGATTTCGAGGCTGGGCTGCGGGGAAGCATTACTTCCCGACTCTCCGCCAACGACCAAAATACTTCCATTTGGCATCATCATCGCGGTAGGATACCATCGGCCACGCTGAGCACGCATAAGTACAATGAGCCAAGTACCAATAGGTCAGAGCATACCTGAAGTGTGAGCTCATTAACATTTTCTTCCCAATCATTGGTACCATTGACACCAGCACTCCCATCCGGCGTATACAATCTCACACCAAAAGTCGACGAAAGCGACCATCCGCCTACATTAATCTGCCTGTTTTTTCCAATGTAAGCGTGAGCCTGATATGCCAAGTGAAACGTCAAACCTTCCTCCCTTGTCTGGTAGGATGATACTACCAGAACAAAACACGTCCGTCTGCACGTGCATCTCGCGCCAAGCCAGCTGGTAATTGTCCACCAAACTGAGATCCAACTCATACGCGCCAGTGGAATTAGCATATTCCGAGGTGCCATGCTTCTCGAGGAAAGTGACTTTGTTGTTGATGCCCACGGTGGCAATGAGAGGGACGACGAGACCTCCTATGAGGAACTACATAGATTATGAACATTTTGTACATTCAGGACAAGATGGGACACACCTCATAGTAGCCCGTATTCGCAGGGGTATTCCACGTATTCATCGTCCCATTCCAATAATAGGTAGACAACCTGTTTCCTGCTCCACATAGGTGGATTGGGTCCCCCGAGCAAGCCATGTTGCACTGTGAATCCGAGACATACGTCCCACCATTTGCTGCAATATCACCGACGTCGCCGCAGACTTGTCTCTATCAGCGATCCGCAAGCAAGTGTAGTGAGTCGATGCGCTTACAACACTGGGCTCCGTATTCAAGGCCAGCTACAGGATACCCGAAGGCAGCACACTGGTTTAAGCACGCATCGACGGTATTGTTCGTGGTCCATTCATTTTCATATTGGAATATCCGGGGGCCAGTGGATGGTTCTCTGCATGGTAACATCAGGACTCGCAAGCATGAGCAATGAAGAAATCACTAACGCTAAACAGCCTTCATATACCCATTGTCCAGGCAAGTTTGTGGTTTGCATCACAGGAACAGGAAGTAATGTTATATTTCCATTGGAGGAGTAAACAGAAAGTAGGTTTGGACCACCGCATGCCTCACTAGTTCACGTCAAGAACATAAAAAAGACCAATTAAAGAAGGCACGCACGTCGCATTGCCACCACAGGCCATGTTGCAGTTACTATCTGCACTGATCGTAGCGCCGTTGATCAGATAATCACCGCAGACTTGAGCAAGAGTCAGAAGAGGTAAAGAAGAAGATAGAAACTACTTACAACATTGCGTGCTGTACTCGATGGCTGCAATGGTGAAATTTTGCCCGGCACAGTTTGCGATACAACTCTCCACTGTCATGGTGCTGTTGTCATATTCGTTCCCCAATACACGCCCATTTACGTTGTCGACGTAGCATCCTCCATACGTCCAGTTGCCAGTTAAGCCAGAGGTTACAGGGGAAATAGTGCTGGGGCCGGTGGGGTCGGTGGGATTGACGACAGGGGCAATAGTAATAGCCTGGGTGTAGTTATACATACTGAGCCTGTACGGCCCCCCGCAATACTCGGACGAATTTCCCGCGCATGTCATATCGCAGTCCGTGTTGGTGGTGGGACCAGAATTATTCTCAATGGTTAAGCCACAGTCTGCAAAAACCTGTCAGCAAAAGGAACGTTTGAGCGAAAATGCATGCGCACAGCATTCATCAGCATATTCCATGCCGGCATAAGGGTATCCAGCGTTGTAACACGCGGCGGTACAAGATTCAACAGTAACGCTTCCAGTTACGGCAGTCCCGTATGGTAATGCTCGTGTTGCTGAGTCGCTGGTACGAATGCGTGTTAGCTCAGGACCCATTCTTGACATACAGGAACGTACTTGTAGCATCCGAGCAACGACCAGTTGCCAACGCTAGGGACCAGGATGGGTGGGGCGGGAAGTTGGGCCCCGCTCCAGAATATATCCAGTCTGTTGCCAGCACCGCAAAATTCGGCAGCGTTACCAGTACAAGCCATGTCACAGTCCGATGAACTGGCATTGGTGGCACCACTGGAAAAGTAGTTGCCGCAGTCTGTGTGAAAGATGTGATGAAGAACCATAAAAATTAGTGTGAAATAGTACGTACAACACTCCTGAGCATATTCGACGCCTGCATAGACGTAGGCGTTGGAGCCAGTCGAACAAAAGTTGACGCATGACTCGATGGTCATATTCGCAGTGTCTATGTAGGAGGCTGCGGAAAGCGTTCTTGTACCACCGACATTATCGCTGTACGATGCCGGTCATAAAATGACCACCATAGTGAAAGGATATACTCACGTCCAGCATCCAAGGGCAGTCCAGGTTGTGTCGCGTCGGTGGAGATGGTGTGAGGGGAAGCGATATGCACAGGCGGTCTGTGGAGAAGAAATGAGTGACTCTGTACTAGTAAAAATAACGTAGGCTCGTACTGCTGTGAGAGAGGATATGATCCAAATCAACGAGAAGGTAGTAAGACCAGCCATCTCGTTGTGATCAACACTTCTTCGAAACGCTGTATTTATACATCCTAGAAGTGCTTTGGGGTTTTCCCTCCCTACATTCTAGAGAACGTCGGGAGAAGCTGTCAAGGTGAAAAGGGACACCAAGGTACTTGGTTCCGTCACAGGGCCAGCACTTGGCAAGTATTCAGGTCGCATCATTCAAGCTGAGTTGAGTAGGTCTGTGGATACCAGGGCTACGAGTCCCTGAAAAGAAGAACGTTACCCATGAGTTGAGAGAAGAAAGAAGTAAAAGCTCGGTGCGACGGAGTAATGGACAATACGAGGTTCTTCACATCCATTCAAAATGATTGCCACGCAGCTCCCATGTGCGAATGCATGGTGTAGAGGTGCAGTGGATACGTTTACGCGAATACAAAGCGTCCCTGTACCTGGGATTCAGGAAAGATGGATCTGGATTTTGTGTCAAGCGGACTAGAGATCGCCCTTGAATGAGACCGGAGTACTACCCACTATCTCCGCGTGATTGTATATATGTGACTGAGCACATGATCACGGGTTGGGCTGCACAGGTCAAGGACTTTTTTAGGGATCGTATGGATGAAGGTAGCCAAGAATAGTCACTCATGCGCACGATTGACAAGACTGTGAATGCGTGTAGAGTGGGGCTAGAAAGCACTTAATGAGTAGAAAACACACACGGGCATGAAGTACCTTAGGATCACATCAAATGGAGATGAAATTGGGAAAAGATGACCGCGGTGATGCCGGGGAGAGAAGTTCGAATGAGAACGATGGTAAAGACATTGAACTGTCCGTTGTGCATTTTACTGCTAGTATGGTTAAATCTGCTACGGCAGACAGGGGTAAGCCACCAGCTGATATGAATAATAGTACCATAGTCGATCGCCGAAAGCTTGAAGCTTGAGTTTGATTGCTCGCGGAGTGCTTAGTAAGCGGTAAGTTAGAGTCAGCTGAGCAAAAACTTTGATTTTTGAGCGGGCGACTTCTCTTGTATCAGAATTGAAAGTTGTTTTAAGCATGAACTGTCGTATAAAGGATCTTTGAAAGGGACAAGTTTTTAAACTTGACTATCAAAATCGTTTACTGTAAAGGAATACGAAAGCCATACGTTTTTGGTGTTGTGGCGGGAAATGGCCAAATAGGCTTTCTGATCACTCTCAACCAACCCCGCCGCAAACCTAAGAACATCTCCGAGCAAGGTATGAACTTTAAAGATTTTGGTTCAATCAACTTCGAATCAACTTCTTACTTTGACTCCCATTATGCCTTCCACAGACTTCACAAATATTAACAAATGTCTGCAAATCAGCAGATCTCTCCAACTCCCAATCCTACTCCTGCAAATCAACCTTCTTCAAGTTCAGCGTGGACAGAGCCTCCTTGGTCAGGTTGGATAGAGACTACTGGCGATGCCTTACTCATTCTCGAAGCCGCTCGTCGTGGTTTAATACCAAGAGTAACTAGGCGTCTAGTCGATTCAGAGCGCAAGATGATAACCTCTGGCTCAGTCTTTGTCTTCGACGAGGACGAAAGCGGTATTAAGCGCTGGACCGACGGTTTCTTTTGGAGTCCAAGTCGTATATTAGGAAACTTTCTTCTTTATCGCGAAACCGACAAGCGTGGTGCAGGTCATCGAGGCGTTCGTTCAGACCCTGCCGAAATGAACGAACATTCTCAGTACAACGTTGACGGCGTTCGCCTCGAAGGTCAAACTCTGAGTCGTCCCAAAGGCGAGTCCAGCTCCCTGGGCATCGACAAACATAGGGAACGTGTTCTAGTCGGCAGTCTCACTAATAGCTACAAATTCAAATCCGACGGCCTCATGAAGAAGGTCTGCTCTTTCTCCTCCTCCTCCTATACTCTTTTCTCACGGTTCCATTCATATCAGACCTTTTCGTTGACAATCGGTGGCGTATCACAGCATCTCATCTCTTACTACAAGGTCGAGGATGTAGAGCAAGGGCGGTTACGCTCCCCTTCATCACTTCCTGAGCTGGCATCTTTGGATATTAGTCCAGAATACCTCGACAAAACTCATTTCCGTAACCCTCCTAAAGTGGAGATTGGTGTGGATGGTGTCCCTCGTTACCGTGGAGAGGCAGATGATATTGAAAATACCCCTTCCATGATTACGGCTCCCCTCTCGTCTGGGCTTCCTCTTCTTACCGACGGTCGCATCACCGACGGGAAACGAGGGGGGCGCTACACCCCTTACGCTACTGGCAGTGGCAAACGCTCGCGTAAATCCAAGAGTTCTCAGCCAGAGTCCACATCTCCGACGGACCAACACGCACCCCCTCTGCCATCTCCATCGACTCCTACTGCATCACAAGCTCCGCCACCCCCTGCATACCCTGACCAAGCAGTCTCCAGTCTCCCTCCCCAGCCTCACTATTCTGCGTACCCAACCCCTTCTTACTACGGCGTTCCAGGGTATTCCACCTCCCACTCCAGTTCTCATTCCACCACACATTCTTCTACCCACCCTCCAGTGTACTCGAGTTCGTCGTACCCCACACCGTCCCCGACAACTCCTCACCAGCCACCCCCAGCTCCATCTCAGCCGTACCCATACCCTGGGTACGGCGGCGCATCAGCCAACGCCGACACGCAGCAGGCTTTAATTCCTCACCATCCACCTGCTTCGGTTCCACAAAACAACTACTATCAGTACTACCCGCCGCAAGCCTCACAACCTTCCTATGGTAGCTACCCGCCAAGCAACACCTGGTCAGCACCAACGTACGCCGGCTACTCTTCCTCGTCATCTGGCTCCTCCAGCGCACCACCTCTTTCCGCTAGTATAACTGAGCTACCTGACAAACCCTCGGAAGGCCGCGCGGCACCGGAGGCCGGTTCCAATAGCCCTGCATGAGACTCTTTCGGTTGCTAGGTTGTATTCTCTACGTGCTTCGTCTTTTTCCTGTCGCTCTCCAGTCTTCTTTCATTGTGTTATCATGCTCGACCGAGTATTTTGTCTCTATAGGTCCATTTCTTTTTTTCTCATTTTCATTTTCATTTCTGCACTGCTTTTTTCTTTTCCCTCTTGGTTCACTTGTTTTCGGGGATTGATTATAACTAGTATTCCGTATCGGCCCTTGGCTTGTCTATATGTACGACTGCAAGTGTGTCCGTTGTTAGTTTTAGCGTTAGCGTGACTCCGGTCGATATGGCCCCTTACCTATGCGCTCTCTTTCATATTATAATCCTCATCATGGCTGGCGTTCGGCTTCAGTTGATAAGTACTGTACTACCTACTTACCTTGTGCTGTGGGTTACATATGGAATACAGCATGTTTACTAGAATCCCCTGATGTGCCACATAAGGTACCATTCGGTCCCGATTTCCAAGTCCGACAACGTTATGTCGGGGTATCCGGAGAAATTTACGATTAGCTAATGTAATATGTATCAATGGTTACATTAATATTAGCTAATCGTAAATGTGAACTGATTAAACAGACATTTATGTAAAGTCAAATCAATGGACTATGCAGTAACACACATATATCCATCGCTTGTGGATCTTCAATTTCGAATAAGCGTCATCCTGACTGATAAAAGGGCGGTCCCGTTAGCAGATTCCGCGCTAATTTCCACCATGATTTGTACGGAACTTCAAGTTGCCACTGGCCAGCGAATCCCTCCGCTTCATGGGAGTCCATGATCGTTGTCAAGCATTTCTGGCTAGTGAGAATAGTAAGAACATTCGTATGTATTGCATGCCAATGTATGGTATATAGATGTGACATGACAGAGATATCGTATGTACAGACATGTATACAGCCAGCGCAGATCCAGAAATAAAACGATCATCCGACGGACAAACACCAACAAACACAAACCAGGCATGTCACATATCATATGGCAAATGGAAGACAGCCCTCTTCTGCAGATCGGGGACCAAATTCTTCATCCTTCTGATAAATCATGAGCCAAAGCATTAGAGGGAGTGAGCAAAACTTGACATACATCCTCCCACACTGCATCTTCCTCTCCATCTTCATCAAGAGGCTGCCACGGTGGCGTACAGTCAAGCCACCTGGGTGAATGTCAGGGATCAGTCTCATAAGTGGAAATCATTAACTTACAAATCGTCTTCTGTTGTCTCTTCCTCTTCCCCGCGGAAAATTCGCGACATGAAAGAATTTTGTCTGTGCTTCAGGCTGTACAGTGGCGTGTAGCGGTAGTGTCCATCCTTGTCAACCGCTTTTCGGAGGAATGCTGCTTGAGCATCAGTCCACCAATCCATAGAGGCTGTTCCGCCAGCAGTCACCCCTGCTGCAGCTGGAATCGGTGCACTAGCGGTTAGTGCCAGTGCTATCCTCTCTCCGGCTGCGTCAGGCCATAAGTCAACGGAGTGCTACCAATGAAACACGAAGCAAGTTGACGCACACTTGTTAGATAAATATATATAATATCCTGGGCACGTGAACGTGCTGGTGACAAGATACTTGTCTTGCAGCTCGTTTGCCTTGTGGATAGTGGACAGCACCTTGCCTGGTGGAATATATACCTGCTTGGGCTTGTGCATTACGAGGACGGCGCCTCGCTTGCCTTCTTGAAACTTAAATTCGGCCTTGACAGAAGCAGAGGCCAGGTTGAGAAAGGAGCTGATCGATTATCGCATGATGAATGGTAGCACATAAAGGAAGAAGTGCGTGCGCTCTCACACTTCTGGATTCAACGAGAAATCCCCTTGCTTGACACCCGAAGAGGACATAATCATGTTGTCGTCGATTGCGCCCTTCCGTGGCTGACACTCAGATAAATTGATCTTTAAGCCTTGATTGTTCAGCGAGGTTTGGAATGCTTCATCGTAGATATTCCCTTCCACGTCGAGCTCTCCACTGTCATGCTCGATCGTCCCATAATCCCCCACCTATGAGCCTTGACTATAAGACAAATTCTGCGCGTGATCACTAGAGCATCAAACTACTGACCTTGATCTCAATTGGCGGGTCCCAATTAGCCCACTTGGACGAGGCTTGACGGATGAG